ATGGAAACCAGGCTTAATTCTGGATTGCATGTCGACAGTTGCTTTATCCAGTGTATTATTAGATCAGCGGCATGCACAGCTGAACAATGGCAAACATGAACTAATGACGTTTTTCTTGCTCATTAAAATGCGGGCGAAAAATTTCGTTAGAATGCCCCCATGGAGCTCGAAGAAACGCCTTTCTTCTACAGAGGCAAAATGAATTACAAGTTCAAAAATGTGAGCGCTAAGGCCCATATTTGGGTAATGTATAGAATTAAGTTGACATAGTTTCTAAAAATACTTAAAAATTAACAAAGTGCACTGAAACGCCACAGTATATACGGGCACGTAGTGTTTTTAAAAGTGTGTAAATGACACATGAAGTTATTTAAAAACCTTCATTTTATGTACTAATGTAAATGAACTGTAGAAGTATTTTGTGCAAGTTGCCTTACATTTAAGCAAATAAAGAAATATTATGCACGGTAAAATCAAAATATTCTATTTTATAATAAGTCAATTTCACCGGCTTAATGGCATCAAAATTTTGAATTGTTGAACCATACTATTTAAATATTACGCTGTAAATTGTGCGGAAAATTTGTGCTCGGTAAAGCCGTGTTGGCTCAGGTAAACAGATGCTTTGAAGTTTGTCGGGTCTCCTGGCAATAATTTTCCCGCCATTCTTCCATTTATTTAAGCTCAATGACAACTCGAATGTTTGTAGCAATAAATCAAATTATAATTATAATTATAATATAACGTATTTGAGATGATCGATTGAACAGATTGAGATTCTTCGTAACATTTCGCGGTAATCAAATGTTATGCATCGCACTTCTCCTTCTTCAGTTTATTGCAGATAACTGAAGCAAAACACGTAGGACAAATAAACAGTAGTTTAGGATATTACTGGTGTCAATTTCATATAATATTAACATTAATTAGTATACACCCGACTATTGTCTATTACAAATCCTACATTCTGATTGGCTACTCAACCATTGTCTATTCGTGATGGTGAACGTTTGGGAAAAATTCGCTCGCGCGACCGTATAAAATTGAATTAATTAAATTATTTTTCGGTCTAATTGCGGTCTATCGATTATTTTCTCGAAATTAATATATCTAGGTAACAGGGTGTATACTAAAGCAATTATAGACAACTCGCCTTCGTTGTCTATGAGCGAATAGTCAACTCAGGCTTCGCCTACGTTCACTATTCGCTCATAGACAACTCGGACTCGTTGTCTAATTGTTGAATAGACACGGTGAATATTATATTACTCCCCGGAAAGTAAAATTTCTCAGGCAAACTCTGCATTATTTGCCAAGATTTTGTAAGTAAACCAAGTATATTAAAAGTGAACTGGAAAAAACACTTACCTTTCCTATAAATCGTTTCATAGGAGTCTGTCGGGAGTATCGAGAAGCGAAAGATGCATACTCAATTTAACTCAGTGTTATTAAATTTTCATATAGTGATGAAGGAATCCTGCCGATAAGGAATTTTTATTCTTTACGTAACTGGTAACCATGGAAAATTGTTGGCATGGGGTGAATTGGTAAAATTTAGTCGTTTGCATATGAATAGAATGAAACATTTTTTGCCAATTTAGGAGGTTGACGATTAGCATTCATAAGAAAGAAAGATCCTACCGTTAGTGAATTTTTTTTTTAATTTTAACTTTTATTCTTTACTTAACTGGTAACCATGGAAAATTGTTGCTTTGGAAGAACGTTCTGGTTGATCAGCATTAAAAAAATGTATAATATGTCACACCCAATGAATGTGAGTGTCACTCTGGGTATGTGTGTTCTGCATGCCCAATTTAGATAAATATTGTCCAAGTACTCAAAATCCTCCAATTTTAAACAAAATACTATATTACTTTTCACAAAATACAAACATGCAAAGTTTACCGATCTCGGTCTTTGTATTATGTTGTTACTGGGGCTCAATATATTTGCATAAATATCTTCTACACGGAAGAAGTTAAACAGCAGGAGTTAAAGTCATAGACGCTTTAACTATTGTTCTCATCAAATTGCTCTTTAGCAAATATATAATCTTGTGACGTGGGTGGCTGTGCATCAGCTCAGCATAAACACTAAGTTTGTTCTAAATGCCTAATTTAGATATGCTCCTCGGCGAAATATGATCCTTAATATTCATACAAAAAAAGCATCAATATAGGAGATATAAACATTAAAGATATTCTTCTATATATAATTAACGAAAGACTTTGGAAACTATTTGATTTATTATCTGATCAGTGTACACGTTGCATTACTTTTCAGAATAATTTGACGTGTCCGCCAAGCAATTAAATTCAATCTTGCAATAATTACGTGTAATGTAAGAATTCTCAAAGAATACAAGGAATTTGAAAAAGAATTTCTTTGAAAAGTTTGTAAAATAATTTTTCATCGAAATATCGTCTTAAGGGTAAAATGACTTCGTACTAAGTAGGCTGTTGTGGATTGTTTGAATATGAAAACCTCGCAAAAACTTTTAAATAACGCTATAAAAATAAATCTGACCATGCACTCTTACACACTTGTTGTAAGGGACTACACACCATGCGCACAAACACTAAGAAATTTGCGCATGTTGCGCTGAGTGAATTTTCTTCTCTTTTTTATAAAACTTTGATCAAACTGATGAAAATACCGGTTGGGGATTTGGATATATCAAAAGTTCAAGGTATTTTAAAAAAAAACTTTGCAATCACATTTTGTTATTGAAAAACTTTGTCTTTGTCTTATTAGCCTTGAAAGTTACCGGATGAGAAATCAAATCGGGAATTTTGTGCTATACATAAACAAAAGAAAACTGGTTTGCAATTCCGGATTTGATGACACCCGCAACAAAATATAAATTTGAAAAAATTGAGGTCACAGCTATTAAAAGACTGAAAATGAAAAATGATATGCTCAAATAGAGGTGAGAATGAAGTACACAAATATTCGACCCCTCTACCTAAAATTACCAGTCCCGTGGGGTAAATAGAAATTATGCTTGTCTTAACTGTTAATTATCCCAGTCTTAACTGTTAATTTGGAGGTCGACTAAACCTTCATTTCCTTTACCTACCTGTCCTCTAGTGTTGATAGACTAACAGCGCAAAAGCCAAAATGAAAATTGAGAATGAGAGAATAATACCAATAAGGGTTACACCAGAACCAGAATTCAATATAAAATTGAAAGTCAAAAGTTTCTGAAACAGATTTGCTAACAACAAAAGGTTTAAAACTTAAAAGTAGAAAACACATGAATTCTAAGAATATAAAGATTGTCTTTCTTCGCAGTACTGACCAGGCGATAAATGACGTCTTATGAAAAAAGTCTTTTTTTGTCTTGTTTATCGATTAGAACTGTTCAAATGATCCTTTCAGGGGTAAATATTAGATCAAATTTCTGTCCGAAATTGACAGTTCTCGCGACCGTTTGGGCATGGAAACACAAATAAAAACATGACGTATATATGCATCAAGTTTTATTTATGTTTGATTATTTTTTCTACTTTTCAGTCAAGAGTAATTTTGTTATAATAATGAGTTGTTTACCAATGTATGATCGTTCAAATAATTTACTTCTAGCTCTTCTTCTTTTTTTTGTTATCTTAATGAAATTAGATAATGATTACCAAATTACCAAATTTGCTTACTAAACTTTCGCATCGCGGCAACCAACTCGAAAGCTTTGCTTCTCAGGCTGCCGCACACTATAATTATTCTAATAGAATGAAAAATTTTGAATTTATGTTTTATGATATTAAATGTGTTGTGTGTTTGTTTGTTTTTCTTCCCTAATAAAAAAAATATTTATAATAAATATTTATTTATGTATATTGGATAAAAAAGTGTAAATAAATTTTGAATTGAATTGAATTTGAATTGAATTAAAATGCATGGTTTTCTGATACGGCTATATGTTCTGTTATGGCTTATTTTTTTTAAACATGCAAGTTTTAGTTTGGTTTTATATTTAAGAAACGGTCTAAACCGCTCAACTGTCCACCTCAAAGTTAACTACAATTTGAAATAAGGTAATATGAGTATAGCAGTTTTGAAATATTTTAAAAACGACATTGTGAATTTGGTTAAATGCAGCACACCCTGTGTACCCAATGCAAATTAGTTTGAATGATATTGCTAATCAGTTGCAAACACTATAGTGGTTGTTTCCGCAAAAAACAACCATCACTCTTTGTAACTGATTTGCATGGATCTATTCAAATCATATATATTATTACAAAGCGTTCGTGATTGTACAATATATTACGGTCATTGTATATCACGACCGCTCGTGTTGTAAACATTACTAATAAGATAGGCTATGTTCAGTGACCTAATCACCTGTACTAAACCGCACCTTGATGGTAAATTAATTAACTTTTACTAAAAATTGATATTAAATGGCAACAAAATTTAGTAAGGTACATTAAATCTGAAAAGTGATTTTTAGATATCATGTTAGATTGTATATACATATAGTGTTGTTTACATTAACTAAAAACAATGCCTCATACAGGAACTAGGTGATGCAATAAATGCTAAAAATAAGTAATTTGATATCGATCTTGGGTGTAGTATCACTATCACTATTTATTTCTTTAGAAATTGATTGTTTTTTAACATTGGCACAAAAATATTTTTGCATCTGCATCATCAAAAGTCGTGCCGCTACTGCTGTTAAGACCTGTTTCACACGTCGCTATCGGCTATGGATATGAATGATCATATGCGGTGTTTTCACGATTTGAATTTCATGTTTTTGAGATGACGCATGTAATTTATTTAAATTGTTTGATTCATATTATGCTCTATTCTTGCATATATAGTGCACGGGGCCAGTGGCGTAGCCAGCCCGAAAATTTAGTCATGCTATGCTAATATTTTTGTGTTCATTGACTGTGAAAACAATGAATTTCTAAAGAAATGAATAATGATAATAACATAAAATTTGCATAGCATGACTAAATCGTCAGGCTGGCTACGCCACTGCACGGGGCTCGCTTTTAGAAGGAAGTACTTTCGGCGTCTTATCTCTTTAGCTAGTGGCACATCAGCAACAGGCCTAGCTGAATATGCCTAAATGCTTTTATGTTATTTTACAACCGTGGGTTGTTATATTATTAATGCAAAATAATATTCCTTAAACTAAAACATCTTTAAAAAAATCTTAAGACTTTTTATCGCATGCAAAAATATCCTTAAATAATTACATATAATTATGTCATATATGATTCCATTCGAAAAGATAAAAAGACTAAGTATAGCTACAATGAAATATGTACTTATATGTGCACTAGTTTGTATTCCAATCATCAAGTCAAGTTAAAAACTATCACCATTCCTCTATAACACTTTTTTTTTTATTTTCAATATTGACTTCATTTCAACTCTGTGGGTTATCTCCTCTAGACATTTCATCTTGCTTATGTCCAAGATTGTAAAACTCTTTAGGCTCACCCATTTTACCCATACGCATTGGTTGTTCCAGATGCTACAAAGAAATGAAATTCGAAAATGTAAATTGGTAAAGCCTCTTTGCACTAGTTGGTCAAATTTTCTTCACAGCTTTTCAAACTAACGATATTATTTTTGACACTTATTAACATAAATTTAAAAAATCCACGATTTTTATAGATTCTACAAATTTCAATTTATTTCTTAAAGGAGGGTTTACGATAACTCGGGTTTGGTCTACGGCTACAGGAAACCTTATTTTGTTTAATGAAGTTTCTTGGGATTTACATCCTCAATGATAGAATTCACGTTTACGTCGAAAGGCTAAAGTCTACTGAAAAATGACTGTCGAGGTCAAGTTAAAAAAACCACAATAATCGATGGAAACTCATTCAGAAAAATTAAACTGCCTGTACTCCTAGACAGAAATAAGGATATCTTAATTTCTATACATTACCCTTTCTCTTGTTCTTTTTCTTATTTTGTAGAAAACTACAATGCCGACGGTGATAAGAAGCACAACCACGATAACAACAATGATAATAACCACCACACCATCAGCTTTAAAAGAGAAGTTCGAATGCATTTGTTATTCAAACTAACATCTAGGGGCACCGCGAGGGGAGTTTAGAGCGGTGGCACATTGCGTAAAAAAATCGTATACATCCATTTTACCTTTGTAACAGCATGGAGACGAAGCTTAAATATAATGTACACATGAACATATTTGCAGATCCATACGAAAATGTATCTTAAACGTGAGTTTTAATGCAAAGAGCACGCCCATCATGATTTCAAAAAAGCTTTATATTAGAATTAGGGCCATTCAGTGAACATGCTATGGTATAGCGATATAATTATATAAAGTAGCAAAGAGTATGGGGCTTAATCCCGTCAGCAGAGGACAGTGGGGAGCTAACTCAGTCCTCCTTTGTCTATATACGTGGCTTGGGCGCCCTTGCAAACATCTCTTGCACTCAGTAATCTCCACAACACAGTTAAGCATAAACTGCATTTGGTGAGGGGAAAAACGACTATCTACAATCTCTAGTCTAGAGAGTTTTGGGTTTGAAAATGACTCGGCAACACTATATAAAAGCAACGACACTTACACGAATCCTCTTCTTTTGTCTTTACTGAAATTTCTATTTTGTCTCCGCTGCCCTCATTATTATATCCATGGACTGTGATGTCGTAAAATGTATCACTTTTCAATTTACTTATTATAACATTAAATGTATCCGATGTCATATTCTGCGTCTTGTACTTTAATTGAGACTTTTCTTTGTGGCTTACTATGTAACCAATAATTTCGAAAAAGTCGTTCGCTGCAGGTTTATCCCAACGAATGTCAATTCTATTCTCGGTGACCTTGGAATGATTAAGGCTCTTTGGTGGAGGAGGTGGTTCTGCAAAGAATGCAAGAAAAAGAAGACTTTTTTGTTTGATTTATAAATAAAAAATAGATGATTCAAACTATACGAACTAAGTTATTCGATAGGCAGCCCAGTAATGCGGTTACGCATACTATCTCATGTATATAATTGTAATTATCTGAACTTTCAACATCCAATCAGAAATTTGCCGATGATTTTTGCGATTATGACGTTTGTCGAGTAAATTGCATCCCGCCTCTGTTAAACAAAATTTCGATGCATGAAAATACACTTTTTATTTGCAAAATGTAAGAATTTTTAAATTGTTTTCAAATCGAAAAATGACAAATAAATTTAGTAAATATATCAAAAATGTTTTGTATCTAGCTTTTTCTCAAGAAATTTTTGTGTTTCAAGCAATGGAATTAATGCATGCGTTATATTTTTTGTCGGAGAGTTGCCAGCCTTAGGATAATTATATACATAAGATACCCGCATTAACGGGCTGCCTGTGGTTATTCCGTATTATTTTTCATTCTATTTAAATTTAATCTTACTCTCCTATTGACATTTTCCATAATAGACTAACTTTTTATTGGGTGACAAAAAGAGAATTTACGAAAAGTGCATCTATGCTAAATTTAGTAAAATTACAAAGTTTGCGGAATTAAGTTGGCAAATTTTGTATCACTTGTATTTCGGGCGAACGTTTGAAACTAAATTAGTTACACACTTCCGTCCGTCATACAAAAGTGTATGAAAACTACCTACTTCAAGATCTTTTTACATTCTGCGCATGCAATAAAATATATAGATGTTAACAACTTTCTTAAATTTACCTTGTATAAATATTTTGCCTTTAATTGTGTACTCTCCCAGTTTCCCTTCATCAAGAATTTTCTTTTTTAATGTTTCGCCAACGACAACTTTCTTATTAGTATCTGGATCTCTCCGGTAAATAACCCTAAATTCTACTATGAGAGATCCGTTCCTACGTTGAAGTATGAAAAAAAACACGATTAAAAATCTGAAAAACGTGAAAACTTATTGGTTAAGAGAGCATTCCATCGGCACTGACATACATTTAAAAGTTTTAGGATTATATAGAGTCAGGTTAAAAACCCGGAATGCCATAGATTTAAACCCTGTTTTACATTTAAGCTATGTAACTCTTTTTCAGTTTGCCCGAATTTTTGGCTTAACTTTGCCCGAATTTCTCAATTCTCGAAATTTTTGGGCGGGCAAGTACCCCCTCCCCTGCCCCCCTGTCTCGTACGCCTATGTTAACAGCTATAAAAAGTAAATAAGATTGTCTCCCAACGTTGTTTTTTATATATTTGATATTTTTAATCACGGCTGCGCACCTTCTTTTTTTCCACAAATAAACACGGTACTTTACCTGAATCCCGTCACTTCCACACGTTCAAAGTTTGGGGTATCTTTAAAAGCCTCCGTTAGCTAACAAAACAGATTATTGCATGGTATTATTATGTGGTGTAATACCACCTCCCATCCACTAAAATTTTTGTCACAAGCTAAATGTCAATCAAAATACTAAACCTTAAGAAAGATCTGATCTATCCTAGGAAACGATAGTTTCAGTGTAATAAAAGAAATAATAATAAAAAAATATAAAAAAGAAGTTAACATAAATAGGGCAATTAGACTTGCGAAATATATTTTATATACTTTCTTTACGCGTTGCCAAATGACATTGCATGTCTGGTCTAGCATTTTATTTTTGTCCCCCTGCCATTCGATTTCTCTACTCGGCATTTCCAGTCTAAAAGACTCCCTTGTTTTTTAGTAGGTGATTGTTGACGTTCCATTCCATTCTATTGAATGACGTTCGATTTTGTTTGTTCGTTCACAATAACATGCACTTAAGGTTAAAAATAGTCCTCTAATCCTGGTTATACCCTACAACGACGGGTAACACGCGGTTAAGATTTTATAGATAATTGTTCAATACTGTAGTACGTATGTTTACTCCCAGTTAATAGATTATACATGGTTTAGAGACCTCGTAAAAGTACAATATAGAGCTCATTAACTATGTCGGGGAACATTTATGCAAAAAAATTGTTCCTTTTTCACGTGTCCATTGTATTTTGAACGAATAAACTAATAGTAAGGTCTGAATTAACATGTTGTTCAAGTCACGGTTGAGGAGCTAAGCCAAGCCATTGCTATTGGTTAATTGGGCAAAAATACATTAGACAAGTGACGGATAAGGAACCATTTTTAAGAAACCTGGACAATAACATAGATAATGAGTTGTATTGTAGCTCCATCTAGTCTCCAAACCATGTATATTCTAATAACTGTGGTTTACTGTTTTACCATGGCTTATTCTAATACTATGTATATAACGCCTGTATTCAAAAAGCTCACTGACATAGAAATTTTGTTATCACTGATCAATGAGAAAGTTTTTTCTTATTCAAAGAATAGATTTAATTTAAAACATTAAAAATCAAGCTATTGTTTGACAATACAGCAATGGAAAGTTATAAGAAGAATAAGATCTCCCACTCACTGAGTTTGAGTGTGAGTGAGCTTTTAGAATATAGAGGCGTAAGTGTATTTATCAATAATTTCGCATAAAAAATATGGTTACCGGTACCTACTCCCAACTAAATTATGGCTAATCAAAAAGGCTATTATACGGTAGGTTTGTGCAAAAAAGAATTTTTGCACAGGAAAATGCGACTTTCGTAAAGAGAATTCAGATTTACCTTATTTGTAATATTCTCTTTCAACTCTATATATTCTTCTGAGCTTTCGTTCTTTAACGCTGGAGTAAACTTTCTTTCTAAGACTATGGCAACTTTTACAACGACGTTTCCTAAAGTGGAAATAATCTAGCGTTAATTATTAAGTGTTTCAAATATTTACGATTCAGAAATGTTAAGAAATAAATATGGACATCACGATGGCTATTTGCCAATCAGATTAGTCGGAATTCCTTCGGATATGTTTAAAGATTATATGGTAAAGTTAATCAAACTTTTTTACAAAGAAATATCAAACCTGCCTGGTTTTTTAGAAAACGACGGTTAATGATTGCATTTTTAAGAAATGCGTAAAAGGTTTGTTATAAAAGAATATCAGTTATGGAAAGATGTGTTATCATTATAAAAAGCTCCTGCATGTGTTGCACAAAGGCGTTTGGCAAAAAGATGTGTTCTGTAAATGTTTCATGCAAAGGTGTTTTCCAAAAAAAATGTATATATACGCGTATTTTGCCTTTTGATCCAAAAGTTTTCCGTTTGTTCGGTTGCTACACGAATTTGAAACGGCCGATTTAAAAACGCGTAGCTAGAGTATTAGACAAATACTTAGTTATATTAAATTAATATATTAATTACTTATGCATGTAACACCGTCAAAGTAAAAATCTTTAATGCAAGGGCATTTTATTGTACTCGGGGACACCGTTTTACATGTTGAATTTCCGGGGCAGATGTCAGGACCATTTGGTGGACATGCACCTATAAATAATTAAAAAACACAATGAGGCAAGAATACCATGGAGATAGATTTTAACTATAATTTGACGCACAACAGTGTTGAAGGGTTCGTTAGGGGGTAGGGGACATTTATGTCAAAATCCGATACACTTTCTTTTTACTCTTTTAATTGTTTGCCAAAAGAAGTTCACACTAAAAATATTATATAGGCTGCCGATACAAATTATTATAGGTATCTCAGAGCCAGAGTTTATTGACGCTTTATACCTGGATAAGCATGTGTTCTCAACGTTAAAAATCAGCTATAATAATTAATAAGACAAACATTCTTTCATATTTTTTTCATGAGGATATTTCTACCTGAATAAGAGTTTGATTTTCAGTTTTTCACCATAAATCTGTCCACTGATTAAAAATAACTTTTTCACTGATCAGTAATAACAAAATTTCTAGATCACACTCAATGAGGGTGGGTGTGAGTAGGCTTTTTCATACAGCCGAAAACATCGATAGTTGACTTTCACGTTATAGAAATATGAAGAAATATTTTTAGAAATATGAAGAAAATAAACTAATATAACTTTAGGGTTCCCAACTCATGCATATAATACTGATACATCAATGATGAGATCTCTTATGCCGTACCCGTTATAACAACTTCAAGAGCGTCACGATCAACATCAAAATCACCAAATGAGTTATTTCGTACAGCAGCTATCAGCTCTTTCAAGCCAGTTTCATCTTGTTTTTCAAATAACACGTCCATATCTGCGATAACGCTTCCAGAGCTGGTGAGTTTAAATGAAAGAAAAAGCGAAATTATTATGGAACAAATTTATAGCTAGAGGTAAAAATACAAGAACCGTAATATAAACACATTTTAAAAAGCTTCTCTTATTTAATCTGATTTGCCTGAATCCCAAAATCTTCATATTCATAATGAATCACTGTACTAGCCTTTGATATGAAGGCAAGTAAAGAGCGGACGAAATTAAACAACATTCATATTGAACATTTATTTTCTATATTCAATTTTTAAACATCGGCCTCGATAATTTTTCATATGAAGGCTATTTTTTGAATAAGAATCTGTGCAGGCGGAATTTTTCATAGTTTTTATTAAATTAGCTTGGCCAATTTACCAAGGGAAAAAATTAAATTAGGCCAAGTTGAAAATATTCAATATGAAAAAATTCAACGATTATCTAATGTATATACAGAGTGTAGGAAACGAAAACAAAACGGAATACAGAATGTAATACACGTGTTTTCTCATTTTTCCTCCTCATCGTACGAAAATTCCTATATACAAATGTTCAAAATTACGCTCATTGACAGGCGCAATTGTGGAAGTTTACAATTGTGCTCATTGACACACAATGACGCCCTGAAGTTAGAATGAATGAATAGCTGAAGAATATAATTGTGATCTTAATTGAATGAATGAAATATTTCCATAAGCCTGTAGGAATATTTCATCTAATATGCATTTCATTAATATACATCTCATGTTTTCAATTTTCCCTATTCTAAAACTTAAATATACTTTCCCCACTGCACTAAAGATTTTAAATCAAGATCTTACCTAAACTTGTTTATTTCAACTCTCACATATTCTCTGTTGTCTGTTTTGTCGAATAATGCATCCAACTAAAATTTACAGTTTGTAATGATTACTTCTTTAACGCCTCGAACAGAAAAATTTAAATGTTTTGCCTTTTACCGTCAAAGGCCTAGAAAGATATTAGCACAGCGCGAGGAGATTTATGACCTAGAATTTATGACCTCAATAGAATATTCCACAGAAATTCAATTTCATGGTGGTAGATAAGTTCCAATATAACCAGGGAGCAGCGTCTTCAAACAACTTAGCATCAAATGTGGTATAACAACTGCCTAAAAAGACAAAACACTTCTCGACGTTTCAAACTGAGGACCTTCGTCAGGAGAGTTAGCATGAAAATCAATAGCGGAGAATACATGTTTTGTATGGGGGCAAATCACGTGATAGAAAAAGGGCTAATAGAAAACAAAAAATGAAAACCAATTGAAATACATTAGATTGCTAAAGAGACGCCTGATTGTGAGCTAAGAATAGCCGGCAATGAGGGAAGCCTGATTAGCAACGAAAACGCATTACAACCAGCTTTCGTGTAAAAAAAGAAATGGTAGTAATTTTACTATGGGTGAAGTAGCTTAAATGAAAGAAAGTCTTTCATTTATGCCAGAGGGATGGAGAATGCCAAGAGTGTGAATGAGTCGCATTTCTTGTCGTTTACGGCTAGCGTTAGTACCGGGAATTGGACAGAGAGCTCTACTTTTCATGTCCTTGACAAAATGATCACCAGAGGTGAAGTGTCTGGCAACAGGCTTGGTGTTATTGTGGTTGTTAACCGACCTACCGTGTTCACCAAACCTTACCCTAAGAGATCTTCCAGTTTCACCGATATATATAGTAAACAACATTTGTTGCATGAAATGCAATATACGAGGTTGGAGGAGAGACATGTGAAATAGTGCCTGATGAAAAACTTTGAATTGGGAGCCGAAATAACAGTGCCAGAGTCGGTAAATGAGCATGTTTTACATTGGCTAATGCCACATTGGAATGTGCCTTTGGGCTCTGAACAGTTTTGCTGTAGACAGCTCTGAACTAATGTGTCCCGGATATTTTTGTTGTGCCGAAAAGAGACAAGGGGGTTATCGGTGAAAATGAAAGATGCCTCGGGATCATTCTGCAGGACATGAAAATTGCAAAGTAAAATATCCCTGACAGTAAAATTGAAGGGATGATGTGTTAGAACTAAGGGAGTAGAACTAGTGCTAGGGTTGCTAGAGACAGAGTCTCTAAGGGTGTCTAAGCGGGAAATATCAGAGGCCTTAGATAAGGCAGTGTCAATAAGTGGGGAAGGATAGCCACGTCCGAAAAGGAATGTTTTCATCTCCAGAATAAAAATAATGTTAATAATAATGATAATAAGATTTTCTTAAGAATGTTTTCTAACACAACATCCCTTCAATTTTGCTGTCAGGGATATCTTACTTAGGAATTTTCATGTGGTTTACTATATATCGGTGAAACTGGAAGATCTCTAAGGGTAAGGTTTGGTGAACACCGTAGGTCGGTTAGAAACCACGATAACACCAAGCCTGTTGCCAGACACTTTACCTCTGGTAATCATTGTGTCATGGACAGCTCCGACTTCCGGTACTAACAATAGCCGTAAACCACAAGAAATGCGACTCATCCTTGGCATTCTCCATCCCTCTGGCATAAATGAAAGACTCTCTTTCATTTAAGCTACTTCACTCATAGTAATATGACTATACCATTTCTTTGTTTACATGAAAGCTGGTTGTAATATGTTTTCGTTGCTGTTCAGGCTTCCCTCATTGCAGGCTATTCTTAGCACACAATCAAGCGTCTCTTTAGCAATGTAGCCTAATGTATTCCAACTTGTTTTATTTTTTTGTTTTCTATTGGCCCTTTTTTATCACGTGTTTTGCCCCCATACAAGACATATATTCTCCTCTACTTATTTTCATACTAACTCTCCTGACGAAGGTCCTTAAGTCGAAACGTCGAGAAGTGTTTTGTCTAATTTAGGCAGTTGTTATACCACATTTGATGCTAAGTTCATTGTGGTAGTTATATAATAACTGCCCCATTCGACATATTTAATTAAAAAAACAAATGTTTGAAAATATTTTTTCTCCAAAAAAACTTTCGCTTAAGTATTAGATATACGGTTCTATAACGCAGCTTAACTTCTGCGCATGTGAGACGTATTCCGTATTCTATGCACGCAATGAATTCGAATCAAAATGAGAAACAAGAGACTGGGAAAAGTCCCAGGTGGGAGGCTTTCCTTTCCTCAATGAAGATTATCACAACTAATCTTCCTTCATTGTTTAGCTCTTTTCTTATTACTCTTTGTATTTATTCAGTCCGCACTCCTTAATTGTATTTCTGCGCTCTCCCTGAGCTTCAGGCATGCGTGTTACGTTTCACTTCGGTGCAAAATTTCAGCACTGCTAGAGCCAATCAGATTGCAGGAAAGCCTGGAAATCAGCCCGCTACTGATTTGTAAAGTTGGTCTGGATAGAAAAATATTTTCCCTCGCTCCTAAACCATTATTCCAAATGTTGCAAAAATATATAATATAAACTAAACAAACCGCGTCTTCTATCCTTTTTTTCAACTTTCGAAACTCATTAGAGTCTGTACTTTCAAGATCCTTAGTATAGTTTTGTTTTATTGTTAACAGAACACGATGTCGTGTGATACTTCCTAAAAATGAAAAAGTTATTTTCGTTATCTTTTATAGCCAACGAATAAAATGTTCATTATATGTGTATAGAGATTTATGCACAGCAGAATGATGAAATAAAAATCGTATTTCACTGGATAAATCAATTTCATGCAATTTTATTGGACGTACGATGTTTTTCACGTGTGAAAAATGCTTTACACGGCTTTTGATTGGACATAAGATATTCTTTACGCGTCAAAAATTGTCGCGCCAAAAACATAATTCTCAAATTCAAGACAATCCATTTTCACATTCGGCACACTATCAAATCTTTCGGAAGGAATATCTCATTTCTATTGAACAAAATAACAAATAAACTGATCGGTAATAAATATATATGTTTTGAAGTATAAATTTTTTATTTTTGTAGTCGCCGTGTTTTTGTATAAAATTATTAGAAACGCGTCGATCTCAAATTAATCTCTATACACATTCAATAAACAAATTACTTCATGGTTGGCTCGTTTGTACGATTTTTATTTTGCACACTGTTAATTTTGAAGTGTTAAAATAGCACCACCGTAGGTGCCAAATCAACACCATGCAGTGGTGTTAAATAGAAAGTGCTATTTTGGCACCAACTTCGGTGCTAATTTAACACCACCAAATCTGGGATTACGCTAAAAGTGTCAATATGACACCATATTACCAGCACCATTGTTAGGTGCCAAAATGACACCTCTTTTATCGACGGAAAGTGTTAAAATAACGCCATATAGGGAGTTAAATATGGGGTGTCAAAATAACACCAAATGGCGGATAGGCCGGGAAAGAGCATGTTTGTTTGTTTTTAAGTTATTGGAAAATAAATTTGTATTTTTGAATGAGATGATTTTGGAACAAAGAATTCCCGTGCGTTTTCGCACAACTATTTATCTAAAAGACGACATGGAAATTCGGCTTGTAGCTATGAATACGTCAATTACGTTTCTATACAAAAAAAAACCCCGAGATACATCGATAGTGATCGATTGTCCTTTTTATTTTATCAAACTATGTTATTTTGTGCTATGTATTGATTGCTACAAAGTAAATATTTCGCAATCGCGTATAGGCATACGATGTATGTCCATATAAGGAACGAAATATGACACGTGTAGGCGCTTGCATGCAAATTTTTTGAGCGCGTCGTTTGAAAACTCATCTGAATCGTATATTCATCGAGATGTTTATGCTGCTGTGTTAAAGACGTTTTGAGCGTATTTACTCAACTATTTCTGTACTTCTAAATATCCTGAACAACAACGGACTCCCATAACGAAATTTCAAGGCAATTGGTTGTGGTATTATCTCAGAAACATCTTGGTAAGTGTTTGAATTTGATCAAATACAGACATACACAGTATCCATGTTCGCTCAAAGTCAAACGGCCAAATCGCCAAACAAACAAATGTGTGCTATTTTTCTATTCTAGAGAAGCCAAATGACGTATTCTACTTTACTGCGATCACTTCAGAAAGCTGTGGTCAAAGAAAATATCATTGCAATAATAGGTATCTATTCATATTTACTTTACCGTAATTTTATGCGTCTTCGCTTGTCTCTTATATTATTGACATAATTTAGCGATATTTTATCCTATATCAACGATTGTCCGTGCTCTATTTTCATATATTAACGATAATCCTTGCTCTATTTTGATAAATTTGATGTTAGAGAGCAAGTTATTTGTTTAAAATCAATGCCTGTGTATGTCTTTTGATAAAATTATTACTGTAAGAAATATAATCTCCTACAGGTTACCTGAGAGTCCCATTTAGCCTGTCATTTTTCAAATTCACATTTATATTTTAGTCAAATAACAAAGTATGTTTCCATAATTTAGTAAAATCATTTTCTTTTGCAAGTAAGGTTTGCAACTGAACACATTCTTTTTTTTTTGCAGGTAAAGTGGAAGTGAAATGTGCAAGAACAAATTGGTCCATGGTATGGCTGGCAAATTTCAATCAGGAATGCCAAAAATTGGGCCAAGAAGTATGTATTGGTTCTTTCGAACAGGATAGAAACAAGAAACAAGATTAGCTGCACAGAGAATCAGGTATATCATGCAATTAATATACTATAATTTTCCCAAGGACAAAATTACAATGTCACTTGTAGTTTATTGCCCCAAAATCTGCAATTTAGACTGTCTTTATCCAATGCTTAGTGTGCCTATTATAGTTTTGGTAACCTAACTAGATTTTCTGCTATTGATATTTGATAAACAATTGTTTTTCAAAACAGACATTCAGAGCACAGCTTGTGGTTGCTTTAGGTCTAACTGAAGGAGAATCTCTCCTCTTTATGCTAAGAAACCTTGTGGGCTGATTTGACTTGCTAATAATACTAATGATTATTGATAAATTTATCTTAGGGTTGATGACTCCATATACAGATGAGGACATACAAATAATAAAAAATGGCCATGGAAAACATGCTGGGAAGTGAGTTTTTGTGGATAAATTTATACGAACTTGACATTACTTGTCGAAAATTGTAATGTTGCATTATAAGAACTTGACATTGATTGTCGAAAATTGTAAATAATTGTCTGGTTGTTTTTTGTTAATAGTCCTACAGGAGAAATTGTAAATATGCAACTGTGACCAAATATATTGATTTTTAGTTTCCTTGTATAAGTGTCATTAATTTTGATTTAGATATGATTACTGATGTTAGAACTGCACATTAAATTGCAGTAGGTAAAAAGGTGCTGCTTTAACACCAAATGTAGTGCTATTTAAACACCCAAAGGTGTTATTCTGACACCAGAATGGGCGTTAATTTAGCACCAGGGATTGGAGTTAATTTAGCACCCAGGTCATGGTGTTAAAATAGCACCTCGACAGGTGTTATTTTTGCCATATTCATTCAACACCTTTTTTGGTGCTAAATTAACACCTTCAAATTAACAGTGCACTCGTTGTGAATGATCGCAAACTCACTCGTTCGCTTTGCTATCCTTCACATTTTAGACTTAACGCTAAAATCAAGATTGTTTTAATTGCTAGCTGTTTTACCTTGATCAAGACATACTGCATCTTTTTTCACCCCATTGCATTCACATTTATATGAGCCGAGAAGATTGACACAATCATATCCTTCACCACAATTATTTAGTGTCTTATTCTTACACTCGTCTACATCTGAAAAAATGGTGGAAAAGAAAGAGGAAATAACATTAGTGAAAATGCATGCGGACTACTCTTACAGTGATCAAAGTGATGTATGCAAAGTAAACACGAATTAAACATAAGCGCACTACGATGAGTTTGAGCATTTTGCACAAACATCGCGAAGGTCTTCCAAGGAATTTAAGATTCAATTACAACAAGAAATATGACATAGTTTGCAAAATCTCGCAAAAACAAACTATTTTCATGTTGAGATTCAATCATTTCCTCGGAACGCAAAGTCTGGCAAATGAAAGTCAAAAAGACTTTCGGAGAGGCATCAAATCAATGTCTTCCCTTGCAGACAAAAATGTCGGAATATATAAACAGATCAGAGACGTAAAAAAACAATATATTTAATTAGTTAAATCATTACTAGCATATACTATGCAATGAAGAAAGCCTTAAAAAGTAAAACAAAACATTTGAAATGAAAAAAAACATTTGTATTAGGCGACTTACCTTTAATAATATACAAACCTGGAGAATAAAAATTCAAATCTTCTAAACAGAAAAAGAAGCTTTACCCTTACTTTCATCATGGTGCATTCTTTTTGCACCATTTCACGACCTTATTGAGATCATGTCTTCTTCACTTCCACTTCATTTTGGCATATGACGAGGCCTTTAAGTAAAAAAAGCGAGAAAAGATGGTGATAAAAACACCTCGAAAGCAATCTTAAAGTTCAAGAATTTGTATAACTTATCCTAATCCTGGAAAGCCTCATGCAATTCATTAAACATTTATTTCAATAATAATTAAATCGTAATTGCCCTCTCGTTAAAATCACCCTCAAACCTTCAATGCATTGTATTCCTGGCACTAACAAGTATGACACTAAACATTTACTTAATGGTTTCGCTGACCTGATCCAAACACGCGGGTATATTTTGTGAAGAAGAAATACTTGATTTAAATGCATTTACGCGAAATGCGTTAAGGAATATTAAACGGCTTCATTACAAAATTTCAAATTTCATTTTTTAAACATGTAAGGTACTAAACGATAATTCAAAAATTAGAATATGCCAATAACAAGCTGTAATCTAGAAATTTACACTTAACTATACGGTTCTTTCAAATGATAATCGTGGATTAACGTTTAAGTGGGTTATTGATTATTTTAGTATTATTTTTGCAGTAATTAATATTGCCGCATGTTCGCGTTTCAGCAGCGGTGGAACTTTGCTGTTGATTGATAACAAATGCCCAATGTTCTGACAGGTCTTATCAATATGAGGGCGGGCCGAATTTCGTATGATCGTAGTCACTGCTGGTTGGTCAGCATGGAAACGCGGACACCGGACATGGGTATCTATTCTCAGAAAGACGTTTGTTTAAGTTTCGTTCGTCTGAGCACTCAGGTCCTCTTAAAGACCGATGCGTTTAATCGTATACGATTCTTATCCTGACGTATAAATATGACTAACCAAAGTTCTCTCAGATCTCTGCAATATAATAGCTCCATTATATACTTGGAAGCTCTGCATAAAAAGTTCGATCAACTTAATAGTGGATTCATGAAAGCGTCTAAAGAATTTATTGCGTTTCTGTAATCTTTGTTGCTGATTGTAATATAAAACCTAACATTATCATCTTCTCTAGTTGATTACGTCATTTTCCTGTATATAGACCTATCAAGCTTGTAAATAATTTCGTCTGGTTTGACAATCATTCTGAAATAGCGTGGAATAATATCACCAATTAAATAATTGCATCTTGTCTTTCTAATAACTTAAATCCTGGGTTTGCAGGATGCCTTTGTTCATCGGAGCACGTTCATTTTATACTTTTAATACTCAAGAAACGTGGCAGCTATTAATTATTAAAGGCGGATTTCCACTTACAGCGAAATCGTTCGCTAGCGAAATATTTGCATATTTTCTTTTGAATTGAGAACAGTCAAGTCAAACTAATTTATTTATGCTGTTAAAATTCAAAAGAAAACATGCAAATATTTCGGTAGCCAACGATTTCGTTGTAAGTGGAAATCGGCCTTAAAGGAGGCTTCCTGTGGCTATTAAAATCAGAACTTGCAGCCCTGCTGCAGCGCATCTGTTTCCAAAAAAATTCAGAAGACGAATTTATTTTGAGCGATGTTTTGAACAAGGTGAAGAAACAAGTGGCAGTGTGCCAGTGTTATATTGACCGTGTAATAATGATATATCATCTTAGTCTTAGATAAATAAGAGACAAAACTATAGAAGGCGAATTACGGAAGCGGGAAGCTCTGTCTGAAATATTGTTATGTCGCCAGCATTGTTCTATTAAGAAAACCGAAAGTAGTCATTCGACCAGTCGAACATTATGATAGAGCATCGTTAGAACCTAGCATTAAAAAATATAGATAAATGTTCGAATAAGCCTCAAAACTCGCCGATAATTGAATTCTAGTGTGTCTCATATTACAATGGCAATGCATATATTGCTTGTCTATTCAAACACTGAGATCTAAACTCTGTCGGGTGACTCAAGTCTCTGTTTACACCCTGTGACCGACTGCGACACTCGTTTTCTACACTAGTTCAGATATTGAAACTTAGCCATACACTTTTATTTGCATATCACTAAAAATTCTAAAGAGTGTTTCGCTTATTATACCCATCCTTTCTCACGTGTTTGTATTAGCGACTAGTCTTGGATTAACTGCGATTCAATGAAGCGATAAACAGCGGGTTGTCGCTGTTGTAACACCCAGAGCTGAAACGTTGCAGTGAACAATGCAAGCACAGCTACACAAAGTCTTTAAAATATATAGTGTTAGAAATGAATATGCGTCGTAATAAGTCCTCTCACTCATATTCGTATTCACAGGTATTAAGGATCAAATCTATCCTGGTGAATTATATCCATAATAAAAATTCAGCTATCATATATGCATAATATCGACAGAAACCGCTAACCTATATCGTGTTAACCTCAATATCCGGATGCTGTATTCATCAACATAAAAAAGTAAAGACTACCGCGATGCGAAACTTTATGGCCAATAGTTTTATTGGAATCTCTCGAGCTCTATGCTATACGTAAACATGCAACAAGACGAACAATTACTTCGCCAAAAAATATTCGTTTGTTAAATGTTTCCACGGTACACGGTGACATTATGTAACGAACGAACTAAAGCGGCTTTAGCATTGGATTAGGTTTAGTTTTGAATACGTATTTAGCCTGCTACATGGCGCCGTAACACTCTTACATCTCTCTTGAATGAGTCAACTTGAATATTATGCACTGAATAATTATGTTGCTGTGGACGGTATCTTTGTATTAAGGTAAAAAACATTTAGTTCGCGCCTGTTGAATGAAACGATAGACTTGCTTTTTATTTTGAACTTATCCACCGTTTAAGCTAAACGGACTTGACAAAACCGGCCCCAGATATACCAGATGTATGGATCTCATATATGCAACAAACCTGTGGTTCGAACATCTGGCGGATCACGCCATTCGTCTGGTTTAATGCCTTTTTGTTTTGCTTGAAAGATGAAGTTAAATTCTTCTAAAATTTCATGCAGACCATCTATTTAAACCTCCAATAGCCAGCACTGAGTTTCAACTAATCACACATCGCGAAAGTATTACAATAAACAGTATATAGAACAGTGCGACTGTACAAGTAAACACTTTATCAAAATACTCAATCGCTTTCGAATTTACATTCTATAAACGTACATTTGATCAAAAACTTGTAATGTTCAGTACTTACACATTAGTGCAACTCCCATACATCCAGGACCATGTTTTAAAATCTTTTTAGTGCAGGGGATTTGATGTGTGTATACTGTACGACAACTACACAAACGAATGAGGAAGTGTAACTTGAGCCGTGTGTCAAATTCCAATCCGGGTCCCCCGTGGAGAAGATTGAGTCATAAGATCTAAATAGTTCTAAATATATACCAGTAATTAAATAAAATATTTAAGAAATGCGAACGAATTCTATGGTCTTTCATGATATTGAATTGATTCGGTGTTTTGGTACAGCTAAGCTAGCTACAAGCTCTTTTCTTCAGCAAAATATTTTAATTTTGACTCTACGTAGGAAAGCTATCACCACTTGTCAAAACATCAGCCGATTGTCAAGTTCATACAACAAGTTGAGACACGCACGCACAAAGTAAATATTTGGCAGAGAAGCGAAATTTAATTCTGAAGCAATGATGAGTTTTAAATTGTTTTTGTGCTATATAATAATCGAGATTCCTCATTTGTTATCTGACTTTATTGTTTAGACATGAACATCTGCCGCAACTGATTATTCAAGCTTTCTCTTGACATATTTTAGTAATTGCTGTTGCATAACATAACACATTACACCGCACTGACTGCAATATCTGAAACAAAATCTTAATCTGTCAGAACAAATCATGCCCCTAAAAAATTCGCCTTTCCGTGCTGTAAAAACAAGCGTAGGTATAAAAATACATACCTGACTCTTGAGTTTTTTGTTTTCAAAGAAATTTCAAATGCCATATAGTGCATGTTACTTGCATGTTTCCTAGCAGGAAGTCTTTCCTTAAGTTGAAAAAACACTTTTTTATGTCACGGAATCTTTCTGCCGGAATGTATTTTGTGCGGTGCCAAAAGCATTTGTATATATTTCCTTATGCAGGCATTGTATAGTGTAGCCTGTCAACGGCACATGTCTTTTCATTTTCGAGATAAATATTGGCTTTGTCTGTCAGGGAAGTACAGTAGTTTCGAAACGTGAAACGCGGAACTCTTAGGTTGTGCATGTGAAATGCACGCAGCAAAATATACCATGCACTCATGTACATATTTATCAGTTTTAATAATTAAAAACAATTAAATAGTAATACTAAAATGTATCCATGCACAGACATTTAAACACAAACAAACACTATAAGTGGAAATATTCTTATATACAAATTAAATGATACAAAAGCATAACCGATGATATTAAATAGCTATAATAATTGTGCCAACAATTTTATATCGTCATTAAAATTTTCGGGGGTTTCCTGTTCCCTGATTTACGAATACGAATTCTAAGAGTGAATACATATTCTAAAATTTTTAATTTGTTTTCATTAAAGTACCATGAAAACATAATTCAACAAGATATTTGCCGTATTTAGACCCATAACAATGCTAAAAATATAGTACAAATTTCCGCATGACGCAATCGAACTTGTATCAGATGTTGATGTATACGGGATTCCCTTTTGTTTAGAAACTAACTGCGTTAGCGTTAGTGACAACTTAAATTATGAGCTCGCTAAATTGTTAGCTACGAAAGGATGGATGCTAAAATATCCTGTTGCAAAATATCTCATTATAATTCCTCATGCGGATAATTATATTCAGAGTTGACTATGTTATAACAAACTCCGAAAATGTGGAAAGAGAAAGCGTGTAACAGTTTTTTTGGCTGTTTTAATTAGGTTGTTTATTCATTACACTTCACTCTTGCATATACTTCTTGCTCAGGGTCAACATTACAAAGCCCTTGGCAGGCTATAAGCATCAAACATGTCCATGGTCGGCTATAAGCATCAAACATGTTCAGGTCGATCAACATTATTATATAAATACTCATTTTACAAATATAGTCAATTAAAACTTAATTTAATTGGTATATTTGGCTTGTATTTCGTCTAAAATAACGATCTCGACGCCGCATATACCAGTCACTACGACTATTATATCGTGTTTAGTTGCTATTCAAAGCCGTGCGAGCCAGAAAAATAGCGAAATCTAATGAATGACATTGTAATATCCGGCCTGCAGTGCGCCATTCACTGAAAAACAATCCGAATATTTCAAACATTTGAGAATCGTGAAATAAATAGAATAATGCTTTCTTGAACAACAATCAAGCTCTCCGTTTCATGCTAGCTTCTGAAATATTTCTTTTCAATTGCATGGGTCTTCAGAAATTAATTATTTCTTTCTAAGTTGAGGTATAATCTTCGCTACAATATGTTTTGTCATATGATTAGATTGGTCACAAAGTTCTTCTCAAACTAATATTCGAAATCGTTTTTATTGTTGTGCAGTCGAATGGCTGAGAAAATTCAGACTGGTAAACCCCAAATAATGCTTAATATGACAAGTGGGTGATTTTGCATTTATAATTAAAATTTTATGAATTTTTGTTTACATCCATTTAACCGTAAACTTGATGTTGCGCGCCAGAAAAAATTCAGCTGTAAAAGGAGGTTCAATGTGCCTCGATAAAGCCCATTTAAACTACCAATAGACCTGAAGACGGGCAATGAGTACAAGTTCAAATACGAAAGTGATGAAATACGCTTATGATTTATTTAATTTTGTTTTGATTCTCCCTTGGCCTTGCAATTCATCATCACGAAACATACTTTGCATTTTGCACAGTTTACATCTTGCACTTTACATACTTGCTCTTGACTTCTAATGAAGTCGACGATGAAAACGAAATCCTGCTGGTTTTCACGAATGTAGTTCTGTACGGTATTTTGGCAGAAATGTGACATCTTTACACGCATTTATCAGTTGGAATACATATATATACGCCAGTATACGAATCGCATCTTGTAGATCGGCAATTTCAAGGGCATGCATATCATGAAATTAGTTCTGTATTTTCATCAGAAATTATACCTTTCAATTCTTCCACATTCTAGAAAATTCACTTGATTGTGTTTAAAGTATCTCATGTAGTTTATAACAAAATGTATCTTTGTCATAATTTTTAAATTGCCGCGTGAAACGATAAATTTGGGTGTTCGCGGAATTAAGATTCCCAGGCATATACGCAACAACTATTTCCAAACGATATGTCCTTTTTCGAAAAGAATCGGTAAACCTACACGAAATTACATCATTAATGTAAGCATGCTTGTGGCAATGTCACTATTATCAGTGGTATTACAAAACAGCAATGCAACTACACAGGTGATGACGCCACGCGGATTAACGGTATATACAAACTCATTTCTCCTCATTTATTCAAAAGCTGCCTTACCTTTTCGAGATTTGATGTTGTTTGGCGTGCAAGCTGAAGACGTGTACTGATTTTATAGAACTGAGGATTCTCCCGTATCAACGCAGATCTTTTTTCCTGACGATTTTTCCTCGTGCAATGACATGCAGAGGGTGCATGTAGACTTTCCATTCAAGTTATCAGTTGTTTATCATTTCCTTTGTGCTTACCGCCATTTTGCTCCTATGGAGTCGTATTCTCACGTAGAAAAACTAGACGTGCTTTCACTCGCTATTATTTGCTCATAGCTAAACATCTTATTAACCTTTTTCACGATGACGAATATGCTGCCATTTTTGGGGTAATTTTTTCGAAACCACAAGCGTGAAGTCTAATAACGGCCACAGTCTTTCTTTTAAGACTGGAGTTATTCTTAAAATAGCTTGTTGATTTTAAAAAAAATGCATAATTTTTAAACTCATTTCAGAAAATTGAAAGTACCCAAAACGTCATCGTGACAAAGGCTAATTCAGCAGGGAAGCAGATGCTGAGATTTGTGCCATGCATGCGCGGCGAAAATAATTATTTTCCCCACGACCTCGCGAGATGAAACTCTCACGAAAACTAACCACACATGAGATCATTATGGAGGTGAGCTACCATTAGCGCAGCACCCGGCACCTAACAACTCTCGTATGGGTCGGCTTTTAACGGGAAATAAGAATGTATGCAAATCTCTAGTTGAGATTGTCCGGTTAAAATTAGTCGACACCTTATAGCGAAATATTTACCCTCCTTTGTCTTTTCTTTAATTGCAATCTTGTCTCCACCGCCATGTTTATTATACCCCTGAACTGTGATGTCGTAAAGTGTACCAGTTTCCAGATCACTCAATGTTACATTAAGGATGGTCGATGGTACTACTTGTGTCTTGTATTTTGAATCAGATTGTTCTTTGTAGATCACCATGTAACCAATAATTTTAAAAAATTCGTCCGCTGCGGGTTTCTTCCAAGCGATATCAATGCTTTTCTGCGTTATTTTAGTAAACTTAAGATCCTTTGGTGGAGGAGGTGGTTCTGCAAGGAATATAATAATCAAACCTTTCATAAATACCTTCTGTATTGTTTATTTCATTTCATGAATAAGTATAGCGTAAATACAAAAAGGGAAAAGATCACAATTCATTCTGCACATGCAACAAAAGTTTAATTTCCACAAGTTTACCTGTTATAAATATGTTGCCTTTAACTTTGTACTCCCCAATTTTTCCTTCTTTAATAACCTTCTCTCTCAATGTTTCGCCAACGACAACTTTCTTATTAGTATCTGGATCTCTCCGGTAAATAACCCTCAATTCTACTACGAGAGATACATTCCTAGGTGAAAGTATGAGAAAAAGTGAAAAATCTTAAAAGGCAAATACACATGAGAGCATTGCTTTGACGGAAATCCATTTAAAAAATATAATTAGAATCTCCTAGTGATAAAAGCGCCTTAAAATTCACTTGGGATATTAATAAATATACCAAATTTCAGATGAAGAGTGGAAAGAAATTACAATTACATTTATCTTATTTTTTTCGGTTCGCGCATCATGTATTTTTTCCAAAATACACACGGTACTCTACCTGAATCCCGTGACTTCCACGCGTTCAAAGTTTGGGGTACTTTTAAATGTCTCTGTTAGCTAACAAAACAGATCATTGATTTATTTTGTGTTGCATGCATATGGTCATTATGTGTCTTAGCAATTCACTGCATGTAGAGACCAGATCTCAAGGCTAAAATTCAGCTCACATGCAGAGAATACTATTCCATATATTTTTGTTTGCATGAAGAAAAAAGGGTTTGGTAACTTTGGCTCCGGGTTTACCTGCTGCATGCCTTTGAGGATTGGAGCAAAGTGCACAATATTTTTTATTAAAAAATACTTATAGACACACATTTATACACATTTTTAATTTAAAAAGTCATAAATGACATGCAGGGCTAAATATAGAGATGATACTGCAAGAACTATGAAATCTATCGTAGTAAATAGAGCAAAACTCATAAAAAAAGGAAAATTTTCTGTAATTACTCTCCATGTACGCGCTGCCCTATGCTTTGTCAACTGATTTTGATTGGCTTTCAGCATGTATTTTTTTTAACGTGCCATTTGATTTCTCAATTCGTCATTTCTCTACTTCTTGAAAAGGGGGATAATACAAAACCCACTTTGTCAGATTTACCTGATTCGTGATATTCTTTTTTAACTCGTCTGAGGTATCATTATTCAACGCTTTAGTAAACACCCGATCTAAGGTTACAACAACTGTTACAACGACGTTTTCTAGAGTGGAAAACATTGACCGTTAATTACTATGAAAACTGCTCAATGGCTATATCTATATTTATGCATAGTTTAAATATTTACCACTTCCGATTTATCAACATCTAGAATCTGTATATTTTTATGTTATTTTTAACGATTGTTGACCAAGCTTAAACGTGATATGAAGAATTGCCACAATTCTTTATATCATGCATGTGAAAACAAAATTCAATAATTCAATAATCCAGAGTTAAAACCTGGTTAGTTGTAATGTTTATAAAAATCGTCCATTTTCCATCATTTGTGGTGTCTGGTGTTCGTAATTATAGTGACTGAACATTTACACAACTCTTTTTTACTTGCTTAGAACAACTTGTTTAGTAATATAGGAAAGACAAAGTTTAATTTTATCCAGTTTTGGTATTGCATTGAGCTCTTTAGATGCATGTTTATTATTATTTTCGTGAATTTTTTCTAATTCCCTTAACCCTTGGGTTAAAAAAAATCCTCTTCTAGTACGAAAGCTTGTTTTATTTTACCTATACATTCAACACCGTCAAAGTAATATCCAGAAATGCAAGGGCATTTTATTGTTCTCTCCGTCAACGTTTTACATGTTGAATGGGTGGGGCAGATGTCAGGACCATTTGGTGGACATGTGCCTATAAATTACAATGAGTACCATATATAAACTAATTTGTCGCACGACTGGGATTAAGAAACCCGTCAGGGGGTGGTCATGTTCTCTAGTCAAGCATATAATACTGATTTATATATGATTCGATTTTTACGCCGTACCCGTTATAACAACTTGAAGAGCGTCACGATCAACATCAAAATCACCAAATGAGTTATTTCGTACAGCAGCTAGCAGCTCCCTCATGCCAGTTTTATCTCCTTGTCTAAATAGCACCTCCATATCTGCGATATCGCTTTCAGGGCTGGTGAGTTTAAACGAATGAAACATGTGAAAATATTATAATTATATTGAAATTATTACTATATAAAATATATAAGGCTATTTTTAATGAATGAGGCTTCGGACATTTAAAAAAAAATTGAAAAACATTTGAAGAAAATGTGCAAATAGAAGTCCCCTAAATAATATTTTACTTTCGCGCTATGATTGCCTTTTGGTAATCTAATATTGATTATTTGTTCCTAGTTGATACCGTTGACGTGGATTTTACAGTCGAATGTAAAATGGCTTTTACAAAATCAAATTTGTGTTTTCTCCGAAAAATATGCCCTTCAATAACTTAAAGTCTAATCTAGCTATTTAAAATTATGCTCCGTGACAGGCGCAATATACGCACAATAATGCGCTGAAGTTGGATTAAAGGAATACTAAATGGTTTTCCGTACAGGATACCGTGAAATTGCGAGACTTTTGGAAAGCGTGAAAAAGCACAAGCCGTAGCCATTTTTCTTTATAAAATAACTACAATGTAAGCTATCAGTGCAGGATTGTCTCATACTGAACGCCTACGAACCAATCAAATTGCGTGTTTCACTGTAGTTATTATATAATAACTCCTGATGCATACCCCAGATAGAATCACTAAATAAAACTGCATTTACAGCCCCTCAAAATATTTTCATAAAACGTTTTCAATTATTCCTATTCTAAGACAGAATTCAACTCCCCATGCATCGCACTTACCTATAAAATCAAGACCTTACCTAAACTTGGTTATTTCAACTGCTAAATATTTTTGGTTGCCTGCTTTGTTGAATACTGTAACCATCTAAAATTTCAAGGTTCAAATTGATAACTTCAAATTAAATTGAATGGATGTATTCCAGTCACTATAAACAAAACTACGAGGGGGGAACTTTCTTTTGTCTCACAAATTATCTTCCTTGATTACTTAGATATTTTCTTCCTTTTTGTCTTTTTTCTAGCTCGCGGCCGGAGCCCTTTTATGCAAATTAGATAAAGTTTTTCTCGATTATAGGTAAAGTTTTTCTCGGGCATGCGTGCGACGTTTGACTGCGGTGTTGGTAAAATTTCGGGGATTTCAGATTTCAGGGAAGACTCGTATTCAGCCCGCTCCTGATTTGCAAATTCGTTTCAGATAGAAAAAAATATTTTCCATCGGTCTTAAAAGACTATTCAAAATGCTGCAAAAATATGGAATATTAGCTAAACAAACCGTGTTTTCTATCCTTGTTTTCAAGTTTCTAAACTCTTGAGAGCTTTTATTGCCAAGGATCGCTGTATAGTCTTGTTTTATCGTTAACTGAACGCGATGTCGTATAAAACCTTAAATTAAAAAGGGTATTTCCGTTATTTTTTAGAGTAAGCAAACAGATAAATGTGTATATATAGCCCTGGTCGAGCAGTAGCAGGCGAATGAGCGTCTTCAAACAAATAAATAGCCTTTGCACTGAATGCTGAAGTTAACGTTCTTTCAATTGTTGTTTTACCTTTAACACATTCTGCACCCTCTCTCCTTCCATTGCAATCACATTCATATGAGCCAAGGGTATTGACACAATCATACCCTTCACCACAATTATATAGTCTTGCATTCTTACACTCGTCTACATCTGAAAAAACAGTGAAAAAAAGAAACAGCTAGAGGCAGCAACATTAGTGAATGTCGGCAAATCTTGCACTGATCAGCAACCATGCAATTGAGTCGCTCTTTCACGTAGAAAAACTGTACGTGTTATTATTGAGTATTCTTTGCTCGCAGCTTAGTATCATCTTATTTAGCCCGTTCGCATATGTTGAGATTTGTGTCATGCGATAATAATTGTTTTCCCCACGAGATGAAGTTATCAAAAAAGCTACCCACACATGAGATCATTGTGGAGGTGAGCTACCATTAGCGCAGCTCAGCTAACAACTCTCGTGTGGGTGGCTTTCAACGCAGAATAAGAATGTATGCAAATCTCTATTAGAGATTTTTCGGTTGAAATTAGGCCACACTATAGCGAAATAATTACCCTCCTCTGTTTTTTCTTCAATTTCAATCTTTTCTCCACGGCCATAGGCATTATACCCGTGCACTGTGATGTCGTAAAGTGTACCAGTTTTCAGATCATTCAATGTTACGTTAAGGATGCCCGACGGTACTACCTTTTCCTGGTATTTTGAATCAGATTGTTCTTTGTACATCACTATGTAATCGATAGTAAAAAATTCGTCCGCTGCGGGTCTTTTCCAAGCGATATCAAAGCTTTTCTGTGTGGTTTTAGTAATCTTAAAGTCCTTTGGTGGAGGAGGTGGTTCTGCAAGGAATATAATAACCAAACCTTTCATTAATACCTTCTCCATTTTGTATTTCATTCCATTATTTGAATGAATCAGTAGCGTAACTATACAAAAAAGCTCACATTGTGCGAGAACCCGTGAATCCCCCCCGGAGTTAAGGGGTGTTCTTTCCAAAATGCACTCTACGAGAACTAAGCTATATAGGATTTACTCAATTGCAGGATGAATACAATTAATTTCGATTGAAAGTGATCTCAAATTCAAACCATGCCGAAAAATACAGAAAATGTGTCCGGCAGGAACAATGTACGCCTTTGCGATGCTGGTGCAAGAGATAGCTGACAAGAACAAGCGTGGTTGGTGTGTATTCACGATGGCAATGCCTACGAATAGGACTGGGCATAAGCAGCCCGATCAATGTGGTTAAGATGTTATACAATCTTATTCACTATTTTTATTAAAACCCATGATACTGTTTGTGCGCATTTCTTTGGGTACTATAAAAACAACAATCGATCGGTCCTCCGGCAGGAATCAAACGGTTTTGCGATGCCGTCGCAATGCTTTGCAACTGAACAGACAAGAACGGTGGTGGTTGGTGTTTTTACGATTGTATAATGCGTGCGAGAATGTGAAGGTATTTAAAATCGACTATACGATTTGTGGCACTTTACCCGATGCAGGATAAACTCTAAAGGATGAAAGATCTTAATTAACTCTTTTTAATGCAGCCCATGCACTCTTATCATTGCACCAGCATTGCAAAAAGCGTAGGTTTCATTCCTGCCGGAGGACCGATAGATATTTCTAGCTTGAACTTAATTTATGTATATGATTTCCACTTTAAATTAGATTCACTGCAGATTTTGTCATTCTAAAGAGCTCTGTCCATCTGCGTTCACGTACTCGTTGTCTCTTCTTGCTGAGATAAAAATTTAGCCTATACAGCTGAAATAATTCATTAGGAAAACCTGTAAGAGCAATTAGGATCACAATTCGTTCTTCACATGGAAACAAAATTTAACTTCCTTAAATTTACCTTGTATCAATATTTTTCCTTTAACTTTGTACTCTCCAAGTTTTCCCTTTTTAATAACTTTTTCTCTCAATGTTTGGCCAACGACAACTTTCTGATTCGTATCTGGGTCTTTTCGGTAATGAACCACAAATTCTACTGCAATAGACGCGTTCCTATGTAAAGTATGAAAGAAAACACAAGTGAAAATTTCAAAAGCTGACAAGGACTCATGCGAGCATTGCATGCATCAAAGGACATGGTGATTAAACTTTGTTTTGAAAATTTTACTTGGAATATTAATATACCAAGATTCAGAGAAAAAATTGGAAAGAAAATATACGTTTATCGATCATCCATTTTTTCAAAAATATACATGCATGCATGGCTACTCTACCTGAATCCCGTGACTTCCACGCGTTCAAAGTTTGGGGTATCTTTAAATGTCTCGATTAGCTAACGAATCAGATCATTTTAATATTAGATCATTATAACAGATTATTTATATATTATCATAGTCGTCATTACCAGAAATTTGCGACATGGTGATTTGCATACAAATTCATTCGCATTTAACTTTCAACAATAATGGCCTCTTCATTCTACTATGAAATACAGCAAAAGTACAACGCCTAAAATTGCTGTTGCCCTGGATGTTGCCCACGCGTTTCTACGTTCGACAAACTGACCGCATGTGTTCAAATTTCTATATACGTTTTGTATAGTTGAACAGGCTTATGAGATTGATAATAAATACTTTTTTGAAGCGAGTGCAAAAAAAATCCGGAAATTTAAAATTTAAAAAAAATCTCAATTTATTTCATAGTAACATTCGAAGGCCTTATGTATGAATTAAAATTAAAAAAAAAATTATTCGATGAGGCTCAGCTCATGATATCAAGAATTATTCAGACCGAGCTCAATGCTATCTGCCAAAGCGAAGCCGCACGTGTCACATGCAGCATAAATCTCCTGTAAGCATTTTGCATTAAAAAAGTAATGAATATCAAATTATATCGTTCGCCATGGTGAAGTCGTGCAGGGCTATAATTATAAAGAAAATACTGCAAGAGCCATGAAGATCTATCGTAGTAAATGGAGCAAAATTTATACAAAATGTGTCTTCTTCAATCTCCATGTCCATGTACGGGCTGCCCTATATGCTTTGTCAACTGACTTTGATTTTCTTTCAGCATTTATTTTTTTTAACCTGCTATTCGGTTTCTCTATACGGCATTTTTCTATTTCTTGAAAAGGAGGATAATAGCTACAAAACCCGCTTTGTCAAATTTACCTGATTCGTGATATTCTTTTTTAACTCCTCGTATTCGTCTGAGGTATCATTATTCAACGCTTTAGTAAACTCACGATCCAAGGTTACAACAACTGTTACAACGACGCTTTCTAGAGTGAATACATCGTTAAATGTGAAAAACTGCTCAATGGAAGTATCTATGTATAGCTTAAAGATTTACGATTTTCAATTTACCAATATCTAAAAATACTTATGTATATACTCTTACGCTAGTTCTTCATGATTGTTGAACGAGGTTAAACCTGATAATATATGTATAACAATAGAGTTGATGTTCGGGGGAATAAATGGGTTTTTGGTCCGACTCAGAACTCGTTTTAGAGTAGCGTGTGTCAAAATGTGTTCTGAGAAGGGCCAAAAACACATTTATGCCAAAGAACATCAACTGTATTATTATTATACTTTAACGGGCAATAACTTTAAAGGGCAATTTTTGTATAAAAAATCATGCAGTAGTTAAACACTTTAGTCATTCGTCTGATTGGCTTAGATCGGCGAGCTTTTTAGAATATATTTCAGTCCAGGAAATTTATAATTTTAGCCCGCAAAATACACAACAATGCCCGCCAAAGTTAATATAATTTATGATGAATTAATTGCCACAATTCTTTATATCACGTGAAAACCAAATTCAATAATATAATTGCTTTCATTAATTCTTTCAAAGTCCAAACATTACAAAATCGATCAGGATGTCAATCATATCGATTCCGCTCGCATTTGTGTTGTTTTGCTTGTTACCGCATAACGTCACTCCTTGGGCATGATATTTATAGTCTGCCAAACTTTCATTATTGCAAAAGTCTCATTATTTTTAGATTCACAAGCTCCTATAGGCAATGATTTAGCCAACGAAGCAAAAGCAATTCCCTTGCCCTATTATAGAGTTTAAAACGTGGTTATTTGCACGTGTCTACAAAAATCTTCCAATTTCCATCTTTTGGTATGTCTGGTGTTCGTAATTATGGTGACTGCACTTTCATACAACTCTTTTTCCCTCTGAACAACCTGCTTAGTAATATAGGAAGGATAAACTTTGATGTTATCCAAAATTAAAGAAAAATATTTTTTGGTATTGGATCCCTTGTAATGCATGTTTATTATTAAACAAAAAACTTGCCAAACTGTAGCTCTGTATTTTCGTTTTTCTCAATTCCCTCAACGCTTAGCTTAGAAAATTTTCCTCTTTTTATACGAAAGCTGAAGATTAAATTCATATATTTTACCTATACATTCGACACCGTCAAAGTAATATCTATCATTGCAACGGCATTTAATTGTACTCTCCGTCAACGTTTCGCATGTTGAATCGGCCGGGCAGATACCAGGACCATTTTGGGGACATGTGCCTGTATCAATCAAGAAAAATACAATGATTACTATATATGAACTAATTTGGCGCACGGCGGTAAGAAACCAGTCAGGGTGGTGGTGAGGGTTCTCAAGCATATATTATACTGATATATATGATGAGATTTTTTTGTCGTACCATTTCTAAGAACTTGAAGAGCGTCAGGATCGACATCAAAATCACCAAATGAGTTATTTCGTACAGCAGCTAGCAGCTCCTTTATGCCAGTTTCATCTTCTTTTCTGAAAAACATCCTCATATCCGCGATAACGCTTCCAGAGCTGGTGGGTCTAAATGAAAGAAAAAGTGAAATTCTTATTGAACAAATATAGGTAAAATACAAGAAACACAATCAATAAAATTTAAAAAACTATTCAGTCTTATTTAATCTGATTGAACTTACTGACTGAACTTGGTTACTTCAACGTCTAAATACTTTTCGTTGCCCGTTTTGTTGAATACTGTCACGGTCTAAAATTCAGAGGTTTGAATTGATCACTTAATGCAAGCCTCGAAAATCTTTTTTTGATTTTCTTGTTTTCCACCGCCAGGGGCTTGATGCTGGCGCTAAGCGGGGGAAAATTTTTGAAATATCATTAGCTCTAATAAATGAAACGATAATCTAAACAGCTTTGTTAATAAAATGTCAGTAATGTCAATGGTGACAAACAAAATTTCTTGTGTTTTTTTTTCAGTCTGCGCCTTATATTCAAATTAGACATAGGACCTTTAACTGCGGTTTGGTGAAATACCAGTACTTCACAGCTGCTAAAACCAATCAGATTTCAAGAAAGACTCGTATTTAGCCCGCTTAATAGGTCGATCAAGATAGAAAAACGTTTCGATCCACTTTGGTTTCAAACGATTATCAAAATGCTGCAAAATATATAATATAAACTAAACAAACCGCGTTTTCTATCCTTGTCTTCAAGTTTCTAAACTCTTGAGAGTTTGCATTGCCAAGCGCCGCTGTATAGCTTTGTTTTATTGTTAACTGAACAAGATATCGTTTAACATCTGAAATAGAAAAAGTTATTTTCATATACCAAACGGATGTAAGTGTATATAATTATATAGGCCTAGCCGAGCAGTAGTGCAGCTAGGCGAGTGTGCGAATTTCCACAAATGGCCTTAATAGTTTGTTATAATTATTTACCTTTATCACATTCTCCATTTAGTATCGTTCCATTGCAAACACATATATATGAACTAGGAGTATTGACACAATCAAACCCTTCACCACAATTATTCAGTGTCGCATTCTTACACTCGTCTATATCTGAAATAACGGTGAAAAAAAGGAAATAATTAACAATCGTGAAATTGCATGTGGTCAACTCTTAGGCCCAGTTTATATGTCGCATTTTGGTCGCGTCGAATGCAATTCAAACAATACATAATAAGATTTAAACCTCATTAACATCTAATTATCTATTGTTTGAATTGCATTCGACGCGACCAAAATACGACGTATAAACTGGGCCATACACTGATCAGTAAGCAGTAAGCATGCAATGAATTAAGAACAAATTTAACATAAGCGCATTGCGATGAGTTTGAGCAATTTGCACAAACATCGCGAAGATGTTCCAAGAAATTTAAGATTCAATTACAACAAGAAATATGACATAGTTTGCAAAAACTCGCAAAAAACAAACTATTTTCATGTTGAGATTCAATCTTTTCCTTGGAACTCAAAGTCTGGCAGATGAAAGTCAAAAAAAACTTTCGGAGAGGCATCAAATCAATGTCTTCCCTTCCAGACAAAAATCATGCAATATATAAACAGATCAGAGACGTAGCTAAAACAAACAACATGTTTGATTAGTTAAATAATTATCAGCATATACTATATATGAATAAAACAACGGTTTAACACAAACATTTGAAATACAAAACTGCATTAGTACAGTTGTTTCAAGTGACTTACCTTTAGGAATATACAAACCTAAATCCATGAAAATTTAATCTTCTAAACGGAAAAAGAAGCTTTACCCTTACTTTCATCATGGTGCATTCCTTTTGATCCATTTCACGACCTTATTGGGAATATGTCTTCTTCGCTTCCTTTATTCAAGAGTATGCATATGGCAAGGTCTTAAAAAAAGAGTAAAAATAGATACTAAAATGGGAATAAAATTAGTTATTAATTAGCTGAGATAAAGACCTCGCGAGGCTCTTACTCAGCAACTTTACCTTGTGTGCGGATATAGTTTTCGTGAGGAATTCGCCTCGAAAGGCAAGTTTCTCTCGTCTGCTCCCGGATTTCGGGTGAGCTAATTAACCTACTCGCGAGGTTATTTGCTCAGCTGTTAGATCTCGTGTGTGGTGGGTTAAGACCTTTCTCCTGCGACGAAGACTTTTAAAGTTCAAGAATTTGTATAACTCATCCTAATAAAAGCCTGATGCAATATAATGCCGGACTATTTTTTTAAGACGCCATCATTGCAAGTGCTCGAAAGAGTGTAGAATATTCAATGATTTGTCCTTCGTTGAGTGAAAATGACATGAAATATCTTTAATCATTTTATATTCATAATCGTATTCTTTTATTACGTTTTCATTTCCCCACCAAATGCATGTTAGCATTGCTTGTTTGCTTGTAATTTGAAATTCCTCGAATTTGCCACGGGTCGAGGTCACGAGGATGCGGAGCTTAGGGAGTAATTTAGCACGAATTTAAAAAGAATATGGTCAATCCTCCAAATTAGTAAAATTTTCTCCCTCGGAATATTGATAATCTCGTTCCTCCTCTATTGGGAAGGAAAAGTAGGGAAGAAAGTGGAACAGAAAGGCTATTGCATTTTGCCGAAGGACTGAGCAAATATTATATTTCACTGAAATGTACCATCAGAGTTTAAAGTATACTATTATAGAGACCTTTAAGATCTTAGTCCTGTTGCTTGTAAGAGTCCCCCTGTTTCCATTATCAAATCATAGATAGGGGCTAATGTGCTTGAGACAATTTATTAAACATTAATATTAATAATTAAAATATATTATTACACCCGGGTATATTTTGACAGGACATAGCCGAATCGAAAGTTGTCCAAATTCTATGTCATGGGTAAAAATTGGTGACGAGTAAACGAGTAAAAATTGGTAATCAACGTAATGAAAGAAGGAATGTTTGTGTTTTATTTAGAGCGTCAGAAAATAATTTATTAACTGTCGTTTCGCAACTATTTTTTGATAATAAAATTTTTACAAAAGCACAAATATAGTTTACAAGAACGATGTATAATCTATATGAGCTACCAAGAGCTTACTATACTAGGTATGTCTATTTTGTTTATTCTGTATTCGCTAAAAATAAAGTCACTTCATGACTTCAAGGCTAATATTCACGGATAATATATGCATGAATATTCGAAGACCATTTGATACTTAGTCCTTGAAAGATTTTGTACTGTTCTATTGTTTTAAAGGTTGAATTTTTAACCAAAACTTCTTAAAGCTGAAAGAGACCATTAAATGGCAGCTTAATGCAGCAGAAAAACGGGTGATGTTTACTTTTGTTTCCGAATCATAGAAATATCAGCTGCGACTCATTTGAGACATGTCATAATAATTATATAGCCATAGGCTAAGAGTTAGCTACCTTAAGAAATTGGTTGTTTTGTTCAAATTGGCGAGGGGTTATAGTGCATGCATGTATATCGGGTGATAATACTAATCACTTCTGAATTTATATTCCACAAATTTCAAATTTGACCAAAAAAATGTAGCTAATCTTCAGTACTTACACATGCCCGTACAACCAAGGTCCAGTTTTAATTATCTTTATATCTAGTGCTACGGATATCAATTTTAATTTTCTCTACCATTCAGATGAATCAATCATAAATAGATTATTCATACAAATACACGAACGAATAAGGAAGTGTAACGTGCATGAGTGTGTGTTAAATTCTAACCCGGGTCCTCGTGAATCATAACTGATCTGAACAACGGTTCTAAATATAGTTTTGATATTGATTCGGGTATTTTGTGTACAGCTAAGCTATAGCTACAAGACTTTTTCTTCAGCAAAATATTTCAATTTTGACCCTACGTATGAAAGTTATCACCTGACAAAGTCTTACCTTTAAAACTTCAGCCGATTTAACCTTGTTTACGTTTAGTCGTAATTGTCGACAGCAAGTCATTTTCACCAATGAGATATAGTGCGGGTATATATTTTTCCTTTTTTCCGCATTCAAATCGGTCATTGTCTACTGCGCACAGATATAGATATTCTATATCACATCAGCCACCTTGACATCTTCAGACACTCATGCATCATCAGTCTCCACTAAATAAAAACGATGCAGGCAATCTGCTAGTGTACTGGTCCGTACAACAAGTTGAAACACGATGCATTATGTAAAGTATGGCAAGAAAGCTAAGATTGATGCAGAAAGCAACAGCGAGTTTCAAATTGTTTAAGTGCAGATCATTTCCAATTACATAGTGCTGAAATCATACTGGATCCCGCTCGCGTAAAATTTTCTCATCTGTTATTCACTGTTATTTTCAGGGAGTTATTTTAACTCTCCCATTATCCTTTTTTAGTGGAGTTAAAAATTTAACTATAGTTTTGGAGTAAAAATAACTCTCTTTGCGGGGTTAATAATTTTTAGACCTTATTAACTATGCAGAATTAACTCCTTTTGGGGGAGTTAAGCAATCTAACCCTCTTTTATGAGTTATTTTGACTCACCTATTACCCTTTTTTGGGGGTGATAAAAATTCAACTCTTTTTTTGGAGTTAAATAAAATTCAAAATGGCGTGCACAAGAGGAGCGGGTTAATAGTTTATTATAAATTTTAGTCTTATAAACGTGAATTGATTTAACTCTGGAGTGAAAAAGGCGGAAAAGGCTTGTAAAAATTACGAATGTTTGTGCCACTAATATAATTTGACTTCTAAACCCTATATTTTAACTTATATCTTTCTTCATCCCGATGTATAAAGTTTCTTCCTACGGCATTTAACTTTTAAGTTCAAGTTTATAAGTCTGTTCTGTTCATCTGTATATCAAAGCCATTCCCCCCATAAAATAGGGAAAAATGGCAGGGCTGACGATGATCTATTGGTTATATATGTTATTTCTGGCTGTGAGGTCGTTATTTCCGTTTTCGAGACCGTCGGCACAGTTTTTTGTATCTGGGCCGAAGCTGCCGGTAAAATATAATGTGTTTATTTTTTAACCTTTGCCGTAGGCCGAGGGAAGTTTTCGAGACCGAGAGCACAGTTTTTGCCTCCGGGCTGAAGCTGCGGTGTATAACGTGTTTATTTTTTTACCTTTACATTATTGACTTCATGAAACACAAAAAAAGCAAAAAAATTAGCAAATAACTATATAAAAACTATAATTTCTGCAATCTACAAGGCTGCAAGCCATTTCAGAATTTTAATACGTCAACAACTCCTTAAAAGGATATCCTAGTCGGGAAACAGCCAATGAAATGGCAGATATTGTTACCATAGCAACTAAATCACGGCAAATTCGGGCAAATCGACTAGAAAAACAACGTAAAATGCAGCGAAAAAAGGAGTAAAAAATCCAAACTAATACGTTTTTCGGGTATGTTTTTTATTTCTAACATACTTTTAGCCTTTTCCGGAAAGGTTTTTACACATTTTAGCCTTACGTTGCTTTGGTTTGGCCGTTTTATTCACATTTCACACCGGGCCGGATGCATTTCAAGCGGGCCGGATGCAAAAATCAATATTAAATAGGACATTTTATCACTTTAAAATTTACAGTAATCAAAGTCTTTCAGAAGTAGTCCATAATTTAGGGTATAGGAAGAGTATTATTGAGGTTAAAAGCAACAAACTGATGTTAGAATTATTTAAAAGTGGGCTATGAAAAGGTGATCCTTTCCGACAATTAATATAGCAATTCAGAGCTTTTGTATTGATCTGTCTTTTCAAATATACAACTCACAATATTATACAAATGCATGTGAATTGATAAAAAGAAATTTTGTGAGATAAATTTACCAATATGACACTACGAGAACCTTTGGTTTTAATTTTTTTAGTTTAATAATCCAATACACAGACACAATTTGCATCAGAACTCTAAAAGTAGAAATAATATAACTCCGATAGTGGAGTTATCACTGCTTAACTCCTTTTTAAGAGTTACATTTTAACCCCTAAATGATAGTTATTCTGACTACAAAAACGGAGTTAATATTTTACTCCAAATCTGGAGTTACTTTTAACTCCAAAAAGTGAGTTGTTCTGTACCTTTTTCCGTAACTCCTATTTTAGGAGTTAAAATAACTCCCTCAAAATAACAGTGTTTGACTGCGTTATTTGGACTTAGTAAGGACTATAAGGAACACCTGGTGCAATACTTTATATAGCCTAAATATATGCGTATACTGCGAACGCACTCTGATAATTGCTTTTGCATAACACTATATCCAACCGGCACAGACTGCAATATTTGAAAGAAATCCAAAATCAAACCCTTATAATATAGAAACCGCCTTCAGACTTCTTGAGTATAAATACATACCTGAGTTTGTTGATTTTTCAGATGCCTTTTCGTGCATGTACTTGCGTGTTTACAAGCGGGAAGTATTTCCTTGAGACGAAGAAACGGCTTTTTTATGTCACGAAATGTCTGAGTGTCATTCAGGGCTGTGCCAAAAGCACTTGTATATTTCCTTACGCAGGCATTGTAGCGAAGCCCGTCAAGGGCACAATATCTTTTCATTTTCAAAACATGCAACTATCGGCTATTCTGGGAAATAGTTTCACATGCACCTGAAACTGTTAGATTTCTGTAAGTCATGCAAGACGTTATACGGCAACGGTGCACATATTCTTTTATATACAAAACAATATAGCGAGTAATAAACTCAAACTTTATAAGTGAAATTGGTAAAAAAATCATAACCAATATTAAATAGAGAGTGCCATTTGCCATATTAGCGAATACGATAGGCAAATATACATGTTTCTCGAATCGAAAGCTTTCCATTGACATGTACGGTATTTTTAAAATTGTTTTCATTGCAGTCCCGCGTGAAAAGCCATTATAATCTTCACCGTAATTGTCGCAAAGTCCCAAAAGAATGCTTTTATGGATATTCGCTATTCGTATATACTTTCTATTATGGATATTCGCTGTTCGTAAAAATTTGCACTTCCATGCATGGCGCCAACTTGTTTCTTGGGTATACGCTGATTTCTATTAGCTATATTAATTCGTTTCGAAATCAAGCTTTGCGAAAGGGTTTCCACAATGCAAAAAAAATTCCTTGGAATTGATCATGACAACCAAAAGGGATATGACCCCTGTATATAAACCCTGTATATAAACATGTATATAAACCCTGCTTTGCGATCAAGTGGCATGCAAATTACGAACTCGCTCAAATGATTGTTTGTTATACCAATTAACGATGTTTAAATAATTCTTCAAAGTAAATTAGAACGTTTTCAAATTTTCACCTATCTTGTTGCAAAATATTTCCTCATGTATATAATAGTTGAAATGCCTAATATTTGGACCAAGGGTCGAAACAGACATTGTCATTGACATTATTCATTATACTTCACCCACCTACGTCAAGATTAAGTCTTTGCCAGAACTGTTCATATTTGAATCAACCATATCAGGATGGCGATAAATTGTCCAAAAACATAATTTACTAGCGCTTTGTTCCCAGACCATCACAACAAAATGGTGTCATGTTTATCACAATATATTACGACGATGAAAACAAGGCTCTTATCCACGAGGCAACCTCGTACCCAGGCGCAAAGTAGTAAGCGTTGCAAGCACCCCCCGCGCTCGCTTTTTCCAGCTGATCTCTATACAATAGCTGAGTGCAACGTTATATAAAATTATCATTCTATTAAAGCGCTTGGTTACGAGGCTGGGTACGAGGCCAAACACAGGTTTAAAGGAGTTTAGTTGCTTTTATTTTTTATTTATTTACATTTGCCACATCATACTAATATTACAATACACAAAAAAGACGAAAAACATATACACAATACATGCAATGATGATGGCAGGGTAGCCTAAACAGCGTTAGCCAATTACTGTGGTCCCGCACCGACGGAGGGACGGATTAATCAGTAAATTAATGTGAACTATATGTGAAAGAAGTTAAAAGCAACATGTCGGTGCTGTTGAGATGTTACGAGCTGTATTGCATTTCAAGCTGATACTCTTCCATGTTCGTGGGTTTTCTTGGTTCGTAAGTATTCTGAAGCGCTGTCATGTAGTAGTTAAAGAGATTTTTCTTGAACATGTTGAAAGTAGAGAGTCATGATGAGACGCTGGTGGTAGTCGATATCACAATCGAATGTCAGGTTCATGATATACTCGGTAGGGCGTCGTTGTATGCGCTCCAGTGTTGAGACCTAGTCGATCTGCACCACCTCTCAACACTGGAGATGTGCTTGATCTGTTTTAGTTGTTTTCATCCCAGTATCCACACGCAATCGATCAAAGGCAATTAATAGTCGTTTCTCAATTTCTTGACCAATAGATAATAGCAGATCACACGTCAATTTCGTTAAAACTCGTGAAAATTCCATGTTCCATAAAATGGTAACCAAGAACCGTTAAATTAAGTAGCTTCGGTAAGGTTGCATATCACGATGAATTAATGTCTTTTGAGTCCAACATTACATCTTCTTTCCACGAGATGGAGAATATTCCAGGTAACACAGATAATCGCAACTCAACAGAATAGTCACAAAATTGGCAATGTCGAATACAGCAATGTGTATTACGTGACAGAAAAATGTGAAAAAAGACGATTATAGAGGAAAATATTAGGAAAGGAATCTATATACAAAACATACAAACGTACAAAAACAAACGACAACAGCGAAGAACTACAAAAAAATACCACACGAGAAAATTCTCTTCATTGGAACAAATATTTAAACATTTCTATTATTTTACGAACAAATAATGTTTACGAACAAAAAGTCACAAAACAGTCAACAATAATAAGACAGATTATTTAAATTTGGAAATAACTTGGTGGAAATCATGGAGCAAGTGATAAACTACTCACTACATTCAGGAGCGGATTTCGCAGGTAAATCGAGAAACCATGCAATTGTTGGTACGTAAACGAAAAACTGTTTCCAGGTACAAAATTTTCAAGAAGCTCAGTGCTGGGTTCGCACGCCACAGAAAGGTGAATTTTAAGCACTTGTGAAGAGCTTTGAATGTTTTCGGATATTCAAGGACATTTAAGGAACATGCGAACAGTCTTCAAAAGCCGTTGTCATCACGAATATTGAGAAGGGTGCGATATCATGCAAACTTCGTGAACAACGAAAGGTTAAATCGATCAAATCGTTCACCAAGCCACGTATAATGCGCATGTCAGCGACGCTGGTTTAATGCGAAACCTTAATGCAATTTGGCTCTTTTTGCAGTGAACACATCCCTACTCATGAATCAAAATTTTAATGTGAAATCGTAATGCAATTTGTCACTTTTTGCAGTAAAGACATCCATTCAGAAGCACATCGTACTTTAAAAAGTATAGAAGTTCAAAAATGAAAATAAACCGCATGATATGTCTGCATACGGACACGACTTTCACTTTAATTGTCTTACACTTTGGAATTCGCGCTTATATTAAAAGATTTTGTTCATATGATAACCTTGGAGCTTATAATTATTAGCGTGTAATATGCGTAATGTGTTCGCGAATTAATGCATGTAAATGGTTCGTATTGTTGTTTTTGATCGTATTCTTCAATCGTGTGCGATGTGCCAACGCGCCCATACATGACCAGATCTTTAAACGGCGAAATAACAGTGATATTATTAAAATAGAAAAATAATCTGCATGCATTAAATATATTCTTACCCCCAATTAAACCTAAACTTAATCGAACAGCAAAAAAAGAACGGTTTATTCGTCCCTCGTGGAGAAATTGCCGTATCATGCGAGCGAAAAAAGCTTTTTATGTTGTTATGATTTTTAAAACCCGTTTGAAAAAATTGAAAGTACCCCAAAACGTCATCGTGGGAAAGGCTAATTGCGTCGACGAAAAATAAAAAAAAAAAATAAAAACAAAAAAAACCAGCGCGAATTTTTAGCGAATAATAAAGGGTGAGCTGAAAATAGCGAGACAAAAAAAAACGCTTGTCCTCGAGGTTTGTTTACTCTCGGTTCTTTATATCGCGAAATTCGGACGTGAAAAAACATATCCAGGATATATGACGTTTCAAAAGCATTTCATTTGAATAAATTTAATCTCTTTATCTAGTGAGAAATTCCTTAATTATCCAATGCAATGAACTACACCATAAGAAATTATTACTTTAACTGTTTATGTTCCGTACAAATACTTCGAACACTGGTATGATTTTACCCATGATATGAACATGTGGTTTTGTAAATATTTTATTATATAAATTATCATTTATGACTAATTTTGTTGTCTACGATAGCTGCTGAACAGCAGACTGAAAGTGTGCAAAATGATTATAACAGGGAACTAAACACCAATGAAGCACTGAGAGAGTACATCGACAGAATGGGTATTCCAGTTGATTTTAAAAACAGTGGAAAAGCTATACCAGAGTTGGGGGAGGAAAGAACAGAATAGCAAACTAAAGGAACTGAAAACTCAAGTTGAAAGAAGGTTTGTGGTTCGCTGAGACATATGGAGTCACATTAGAGCCTCAAAAATTATCCGACAATAATGATACTGATTATGACTTACAATTTAATGGACATGAACCGAGAAGTTTCAAAGATTTGCCAGAAGCTGAACAAAAAAAAAGCAAAGCAGTACTTTGATTCAGGATAAATTCTGCATTGGTGAAGCAGCTTACCATGAGCTAACCATGATTCAAAGCGGAGAGTCATTACCTCGGTCTTATCTGGTTACGCAGTGTAAGGATTCCTTAAATCAGCTCTGTCACATTGAGCGCACACCGGGATATAATGAAGGTGCCCAGGTGAACTTTTATGATGCATTCAGGAATGAAATCCAAAAGCATGTAAGTTCACATTTGTTGTGCATTTCATACAATCTTGAAATGTAATTATGATGAAATTGATTATCTGGCATATTCTTAATTGTATATTATTAGATAAGAATGTGCACACTTAATGGTCACAGTCCTACAAAATATAGTGTTTAGTTAAGTCGTGATGGTGCTAAAATGTCCATGATTAATGACTAGGGGCCGGTTGGTTAAATGTGAATGGTTTAGAGCAAGAATCAATCTGTATACGACACGTCGACTCTGACTTATACATACACATGAAGACTTTGTTGGTCTGATGAAGTTTCGGGCACTACCGGTGATGTTCTGGATAGCATGATATTTGATGTGCTGAGTCGGTTTGGGTTGTGCATAAGTAACTTACGTGCGCAAACATATGACGGGACAGCTAACATGAGCGGTTGTTACTCGGGGTGCCGAGCAAGGGTAAGAGAACGACAACCGCTAGCACTGTATTTCCATTGCGGGTCGCATGCTTCGAATCTTGTCATGCAAAATGCGGTGACATCCAAATAAGAATGTGTTGGACATGTCCAAAAACGACTTGGGACAGCATTACGAAACTTGAAAAAGGGAAAAGAAAGGATTGGGTAGAAAGAGAAAGTTGACTGATAACACGATTGACAAAATGCTAAACTATTATGGCATTGCTATTAGGAGCAACAAAGGCAACCTCCAAACAATGAAGAACAATGTACCTGCCTTATTTCGCCTGCACAAGAACAAGGAAAAAGAAGGGGAAACATTAATTAAGCTCATTACTTATCAAGTTATGATGTGAACTAAAAAAATCCCATGCATGAAAAAATCATCTCTGTGTAAATTCCTATTGTTTACTTTCAGTTATGCCGTTTTCTTAGTATTTTCATTAAGACCCGTTTACACTATACCGGATTGCTTCCGGAGGGGTTCAAATTTTGTAGCTGTTAAAAGGCAGTGAAAAATTTTACTGTCATAGATCGAAACAAATATACCAAAACTATCAAAATAATAAGTATTTATTTCTAACCATTGCCCTTTAAAGCCAAACGAAGATATCGTGACAAGTGAATCCGGTACAGTGTAAACGGGGCCTTCATGTGGAAAAATAGGTGGCATACGCCTTTAGATCATACTTTGTTTTGGTTCACATCATATTGTAATCATTTTTGGCGTGCCACCTGATATTGCGCAATAAAATGGGCGTGGCAAGGTAACCATGGACACAACGTGTGTGCAAGTGAATGATTCAGTGGCAGGAACTTATCTTTTACAATTTAAAACCCAAATATAGCATAATGCTCTAAATGAAAAAAAAAACTCAAGCGTATAAGACCACTTTAAGGCGGGGGTCAACATAAGCACAAACTTGTTCACTTGAACTATATGAGTATGTTTCCACAGGAAGTGGCAAATTCAGCAATGGAGATATTTTGGATGTGGCTGTGAGTTTTGATGGAACCTGGGCAAAAAGAGGTTTCACATCATTAACAGGAATTGTGTTTGTCATATCAGTAAACACAGAAAAAGCGTTAGACTATCATGTGTTGTCAAAGGTGTGCCAGAAGTGCTCTCTTAAGCGGTCAGTTTGTAAAGATGATGAATTTGAAGAGTGTGAGTGGGAGTGTGATATAAATTATGAGGGAAGCTCACCTGCAATGGAATGTGATGATGCAGTCACACTTCGGAAAAGATCCATACAGAAACACAGAAGTGGATGGTCAGCGATGGCGATAGCAAAGCATTCACATCCGTAGAAGATGTTTATACAGATTGCAAGGTTGAGAAAATGGACTGTGTTGGACATGTTCAGAAAAGAATAGGAAAACATCTTCTCAACCTTAAAGCCACAAATAAAAATAAAGTTGCAGATGGAAAGACCATTGGTGGGAAAGGTCGTCTAACCAATATATAGTTTGCCATGGTTTTTAGGAAAAGTGACTGTTTTATAGCGATTTGAACAACAGGAAAAATTTTGGGTGGACCCCCGTCTTAAATCGGAACAAAGAGTGAGAATATTATAATGGCACCGAAGAATTCACTACAACCATTGCCAGAATACAATCCCGACGCCGATGTTGGCGAAAGTCTATAGGCACGCCTGATGAGTTCCATACACGACCACGGACATAAGCACAAACTTGTTCATTTTACGACGCGGACTTCGAAATAGAGCAACAAATAATTACGGCCGGTTCATCCTCGGGGATTGGAAAGAAGGCATTACGAGACCTGACATATGACCCCAAGTCAATACTTATTGATGGCCCCCGTGCCGAGATAAGTATATTATATATCAGTTTTTCCCATATTGCATGTGCACTGAAAGGCAAATTTAAGCTAGAATTCTTAGACATAAGAATGATTTCTTCACCGACGAAATTGTTTGAAATACTGTACAGGCTTCACTCAAATTCTCCGCAGGCAATGTCAAGTCCCCAGAATGTATTGATGATAATTTTTCAAGACCTCATAAGGTATTGTACAAAAATATTACACGCCGCTATTTCCCATATTCTATTTCGCTATTTCACATACTCTTGAACTTCGGAGGGGGTCGTATACATCCCCCGAAGATTACGTCATCTATTTTTGCCGTTTTTTGCGGGTTTGCAGGTTATTAGAGACTGCAATGCAATCTGGGATAGATTTGCATTCTTTTCATACCACGCTCGCAACAAACGGTTCGAAATTGTCTGAAATATACAGCTTTTTTGTTGGCAAAAGTCTTGTTTTCGTGAAATGCAATATGGCTAACAAAGTGTACAACAGGGAAGACGTTCTAGACTTAGTTTCAGCCGATTCTGGCGATGAAAAAAGCGATAGCGACGACGAATTTGTTGCCGATTTTGAGCATGACTTTGGCGAAGACATTACACTTCCACAAATGAGAACAAATGCCCCAGCACACGAACGAGAACCACTGCTTTCTCTCGATGAAGAATTGAACGAAGTATGTACAATAATTATCGTTCCTAATTTGCTTTGTTTCTTACGAAATATAGTGCCTATATTGTGAAATATACTTCATATAATGTGTGAATAAACATATGTGCAATACAGTTTGTTTATGTTCATATTTTTATATTTTAGACTTAATTTTCAGACCATGAAAGTGTATTTTCAGACCATGTATTTAACCAGGAATCATCATCACTTAGATAAAAATATACCATCTTCACATGAACATGAAGATATAAAAATCTTTCATTCAACAATAATGCCAAAAAATAATATTTCCTAGATCAATTTTGTATGAAATACTCTGCAGGCTAGGCTTAAATTGAAACCCTTTTTAATATACAATAGATGAAGTCCCCAGAATGTATGGATGGTATTTGCCAAGGACCCCATAAAGTATTAGCCAAAAATATATACCTCGCTCTTTCTGTATTTAACCAACAAATGTTAGTTCTATATATACCTTGGCATAAATTGATATCAAAATGCCGAAATTACACCCTAGTTCAATGTCCGAGGAATATCGGTGGATACCAAGAAAACGATGGCACATCATCAAAAGGCCCCAGCGACATCAGTCCACTGCGGCTATGAACCGAAGAAGGCGGCAGTCATCATCCGATGCCAAGCGCTCAGAGAACAGGATGCCCAAAAAAAATCGGACATCGATAATCTTCTCCAGCTATACGATGCTGAGTGGCACGATAGAATATCAAGGCCTGCCCTTGACAACCTAGCGTTGAAGAAACACAACACACCTCAGCTTCTGCCCATCACGGAAGAATTCCTGTCCGTACGAAAGCACGTCACAGAACAAATCGAACAGTTGACAAAGAAGGTGACTGATGATGTGACGGCAGAAAGATGGAGGAAGCTAGCCGAAGTGTGCCTAACAAGGCTGATTATGTTCAACAAGCGAAGAGGTAATTAATATTCGATTTTCTGCTAATTATTTTTACCATCGTGATTGAAAGGTAAATTAATTAAGGTTAATTCCTGTTTATTGAGGTTCTGCGGGGTTTTTTTAAAAACATTCATAAAAACTCTTGTTTTTAACTCTAATTTTTAAATAGTATTTCAAACAATCAATCTTTTTAAAGTTCTCTTAGTCCAAACGATTTAAATTTCGATTGAATTTTCTATCTTTTTTGGACGGTTTTCACAGGGACCAAACGTTTCCGATTGAGAATACTGTAACATTCCAGCTATTGTAATTCGGATTGATTTTTTTTCAATTAAGCTAAAGATTTCCGTCGGTATCATTTACGATCTAAGACGGGCAATCGTTTAGAATAGCAAAAATTCAAACCCATCTATAATTGAAATTTTCAATCTGTCGAACTACCATCTTAAGAGTTCTAAGTCTTGAGACGCATTTGACGTATATAAAAATGTATATTTTTGTAGTACAAAAAATGGTTGAACCACGAGCGGTAAAAATACTTTATTCATCGCAATTATATCTAATATTAGGTAAGAAAATAATTGATAGAGATAAAGGCGCGCGCGAGCAATTTGCTATGCACGTTTCGAATCCTATTACACAATTTTGTTCAACTATGTCATAGTTGCGAACATAGGTATGGATATCTAGTTAATGTATTCTCATGTGAAAATATCTTATCTTTCTGTAGGTGGCGAGGTCACTCGAATGAAACTAAGCACTTTTGAACAACAGCGAAACTGGAACAGAGTGCACAACAAAGAAATCCTGGAGTCACTCTCAAGTAGTGAGCGCGGGAGCTTTGTAAACGGTAAATATATACAATAATAAATTAAGTTCTTATTAAGCCAGTGGGAAAAATAATGCTGAGAAAATCAGATCGAGGTTTTCCATTCAGGCCAAGCCAACAGGGCGAAATTTGCATCAATTAACCAAGATCTGGTATTTCTCTGCACAGATCGATCGAGGATTAATAAAAGTGTTATTATATGCATAAGATTTGTAGCTCAGTTGCCCTTGTTCTTTAAAATGTGTAAGGCCTCTATGTAATAAAGACATATATGTAATACCTCTTTTCGTTCTTAGATTTGATATGGTGGTAATTGTGGGAAAGAGAAAGAGAAAACTGCCAGTGATCATTACCGATGATGTAAAGAAGGGGATCATGGCACTGAACAAAACGAGAGATGAGGGAGGAGTGAGCAAAGACAACGAGTTTGTCTTTGCTGTCAACAATGGCAAGTCCACCAAATCGTTGAGAGGCCACGATGTTATGACCCATATATGTGCCCAGATAAATTTAAAAGAGCCTCGCCTAATAACATCGACTAATTTGAGAAAATACGTCGCGACGGTCAGTCAACTTGTGGACATGACCGAGACAGAAATGGGCTGGCTTGTACGACATCTCGGTCACGACATTCATGTGCACAAGGAGTTTTATCGACTACCGGATACAACACTCGAGATGGCCGAAGTAGGCAATTTACTGATGGCTGTCGACGAAGGTCGAGCGCACCAATTCAAGGGAAAGAATCCACGCGATATTCAGTTAGCAGGTAAGAAAAATTTGCTTATAATTTATTAAAATGTCAAAGTCGCTATATGTTGCAAAACCATCGGCCAAAAAAAATCGGACATAGATGATCTTCTCCAGCTATACGATGCCGAGTGGCACGATAGAATATCAAGGCCTGCCCTTGACAACCTAGCGTTGAAGAAACACAACACACCTCAGCTTCTGCCCATCACGGAAGATCTCCTGTCCGTACGAAAGCACGTCACAGAACAAATCGAACAGTTGACAAAGAAGGTGACTGATGATGTGACGGCAGAAAGATGGAGGAAGCTAGCCGAAGTGTGCCTAACAAGGCTGATTATGTTCAACAAGCGAAGAGGTAATTAATATTCGATTTTCTGCTAATTATTTTTACCATCGTGATTGAAAGGTAAATTAATTAAGGTTAATTCCTGTTTATTGAGGTTCTGCGGGGTTTTTTTAAAAACATTCATAAAAACTCTTGTTTTTAACTCTAATTTTTAAATAGTATTTCAAACAATCAATCTTTTTAAAGATCTGGTATTTCTCCGCACAGATCGATCGAGGATTAATAAAAGTGTTATTATATGTGTTAGATGAGCAGTTTAATAACGTTACATAAAGTAGCTCTAGCGTACGGTAATTAAGACCGCGGACGTCGAAGAACGTATGAAAAACGTGAAACAGTTGATTTTAGAAAAAGCTATAAGTTAAAAGCTGTTAACCTGTAAATCTTGGGAAATAAAAGGGAACAAAACCTAAAATCTAGTAATATCCTCGTCGGAAAAAAACCATGTAACATATGCATAAGATTTGTAGCTCAATTGCCCTTGTTCTTTAAAATATGTAAGGCCTCTATGTAATAAAGGCATATATGTAATATCTCTTTTCGTTCTTAGATTTGATATGGTGGAAATTGTGGGAAAGAGAAGGAGAAAAGTGCCAGTGATCATTACCGATGATGTAAAGAAGGGGATCATGGCACTGAACAAAACGAGAGATGAGGGAGGAGTGAGCAAAGACAACGAGTTTGTCTTTGCTGTCAACAATGGCAAGTCCACCAAATCGTTGAGAGGCCACGATGTTATGACCCATATATGTGCCCAGATAAATTTAAAAGAGCCTCGCCTAATAACATCGACTAATTTGAGAAAATACGTCGCGACGGTCAGTCAACTTGTGGACATGACCGAGACAGAAATGGGCTGGCTTGCACGACATCTCGGTCACGACATTCATGTGCACAAGGAGTTTTATCGATACCGGATACAACACTCGAGATGGCCGAAGTAGGCAATTTACTGATGGCTGTCGACGAAGGTCGAGCGCACCAATTCAAGGGAAACAATCCACGCGATATTCAGTTAGCAGGTAAAAAAAATTTGCTTATAATTTATTAAAATGTCAAAGTCGCTATATGTTGCAAAACCATGTCAATAAATTTTTGGAAAGACTCGAAGTAATAAAGTAAAGGCAGTCAAATCAGTTCAAAAAATCGATAAATATAAATTGAAACAGAATTAAATATTCGACATAGTAACCAATGCCAGTCACTGTAAAACGGGTATGTAGGATACAGCTAATTAAAAAAGGTTTTCCGATAAAACAGTCAATACGCCGGCATGTATGAACTGGCGTGAGCATTTTGGATCGATGTACCGAGGACAGCGCGCAACTAATATCCGATATATGCAAAGCCAACAGCATCGACTTCGTGACGGCGATCGTAAAAGTCGTAGACAAAGTGGACACAAAACGAAACACACTTTACATATACGGGCCAAGCAACACGATGAAAAGCAAAGTAACACACTCCATCATAAACGCAGTACCATGCGTCGGCCAACAGATGACGAGCGCCGATTTCGCGTTTCAGCAATGCATAAACGTAAACCTGATATAAACAGAAGAAGCAAAAATCTGCATCGACAACATAAACGAAATCAAAAGAATCTACGCGGGGGAAAACGTCACAGTCAAAAAAAAGTGCCGGGACGGGGTGATGCTGACAAGAACACCAGTGATAGCCTGTAGCAACTATCAACCTTGGCAATTCGTAAAGGAAGAGGAACAAACACTTAGAAATAGAATGTATTACTTTGAATTCAAACAGCACGAAAAGTTCAAGGGCTGCACGAAAGAACTGAGCCCATTAGCATGGCTACATCTAAAAGAAATATTACACATACAAACTGTAGAAGATCAATGTGTGTGAAGCATAAAAAAATACATCTAAGTAGCTAAAACGTTCATGTATCTTGTGTTAATATAATATTCAGAGACACAATACCCAAGTAGAGAAAAACATAGATATAGATTTGCTGTTGTCCAACAACATAATGAAGATATGGTCATTTTTTAGACTGGTGAAAATGGTAATAAATACAACAGTAAATATATTATTTCAAAGCTCGATTAACATGTTTTTAACATTTTAGTCTCTTTAGTACTCATGATTATGAGGATGGGGTATATTTAGTTGCTTTCCAATAGCTAAATTGTGTAAAATTTTACTATACAATTTTTTTAACACTAACATTGCCATACCTCATTATTGTTACTTTTTTGCAAAGATTAATGAGCTTAAACCGGTTTAAAAATTTAAAAGATATTTTAATATATCTGACAACAGCGAAATGCCAAAGCAAAGAATAAAAAAGAGTTTGGAAAACAACTTGTTGTAGGAGAAAGTTAATATTTCGAATTATTAAAAGATTGGGAACCAACACTAGCTTACACCAATGTCCTGCACATGTAAGCATATATAAATAAATAATAGATGCCAGTATTAATGTCCCATATGGAGTGACATGGTATTGATTGTAAAAATATAAAATATCATAGTATATAAAATATATACTATTTTTGTACATTTTAGACAAAGAAAAATTTCAGTTCATGGCACAAGATACAGATTGGTGCTGTGGTACATGTTGAAAGTCTGCATAATGATATGCCAGTTTTTGCATCAATTGTAGAAACATTTGTACTTGCTGCAGACAAGATTTACTTTATTCTGGAGAGATTTATAACAGTTAAATTCTCATGCCATTTCCATTGCTACGAAGTTCAAAGGCATGCTAATGCACAAGCATTTATACTTCAGCCTACAATGCTAAGGATGTACCTTCCCATGCATACAACAAAGGCATCTTCCTGGGAAAATGATGTTCTATATGTCATGTCAAGATACCAACTCCCACAAACACTTTAGAGTTTACTATAAATATAGCTATTACTGTAAATATGTATATGTAAATATATATTGCTGTAAATATAGATATTACTGTAAACATAGTTACCACAAAAAGATGAATTTAACAACTTCAACGCCTAATATTCAAATATCCGGGACCGGCCTTTTTTTCGCTGGTACAGCCAGGCTATGCAGGCTACGTGATGATTCACCACGTGCTCAAGATGGCGGAACGAGTAAACATTGAAGAGGTAACAGTCCTCGCTCATGTATTAATGCTTAGACTAACTTCACATGAAGTTCGTCTTGATCCGTCCGAGTTTATACACAGGTGAATTATAAGGCGAACTACCTTTCGTTTGCCAAGTTCGTCGAGACTGATGATCCGTCTCTATAATATAAACTCCATAGTATATTAAAATTGTACCATAGAGTCGACTTATAAGTCTGTTCTATAATGATTTATCGATTAGGCATGAAAGCCAAGAGAGAGAGATGAGGCACAAGTCAACCAAACACGCGATCAAAAAGGTGAACATTCGTATTTTGTGTTTTGCATCTTCTCTATTTGTACTTAACATAGCGGTTTCCTCCAATGCCATATTTCAGTAAATATCTTCATAAGATGCCCTATATATATATTCACTGAAATGTTCTGATAAAATGACAACTGAAAGTATGGTTTTGACATCATGTATAATGAAGTATTTAGGAATTTATCTTCTTTTATTCATATAAGATTTAAGATGATTCGTATGAGGTGTTAGAGGCAGAAAGAAAAGAAAAGAAGAAAACCAGGAGAGGAAAAGAAAGAAAAAGAGAAAAGAAAAAAAAGAGAAAAAAAAGAAAAGTGGCAGAAGAATACGACTCAGATGACACTGTTGTTGATGTCAGAGAATTTCAAAAAAAGGAAAAGGAAGCATGCACTTTAGAGAGGACTGAGTCTCTCACACCTTATCAATTGGAATTGCTGTACAATAAAAAATAAATTTGTTAAAAGCTGCATTAATTTGTACCTCCTAATTTTGTTTTTACACAAATTTGATGCAAAGAGGTGAAGTTTGATCTTTTGCCCCTTGAACAAAACTATACCATATAAACCCATTAGGCCTATCAAATTAGACCTTATTCTTTAACCCTATCAAAGTAACCATATTTAATTGGTCAAATTTGAGCAACCCATTGAATAATTGGTCAAAATAACCATTTGAGAATGGTTGCAACAAAAAAATGGTTGTTTAACCAACCAGTTTTTACAGCGTAATGAGTGTACACGTTTAAGTGCTCGACTGTATTACCTGATGCAGCACACGTCTGCTGCTGCACAAGAACTAATGAAGAGCTCTTTAACAATGGGAGAAGACGAGGGTTACAGAGAAGCGAAAGCGAAAAGGCTGCTAAAGGAACGATTTGGACAAGATTACAAAGTTGCTGTGGCACACGTAGAACGGCTAATAAAGGGACCGCAGATTAAGAACGAAGATGGAACTAACCTACAAACAATTTTCCGTGCAATTGACAAGTTGTACAAACACTCTAGAAAAGATCGGACAGATTACTTGGACAGATTGAACAACTCCGATGATCTGAAAAAAATATTCCACCGATTGCCTCAACCTATGAGAATCAAATGGCGCGAGACAACGTGAGAAGCCAGAGATGTCAGCATTAAGGACGTAAATGACTTTGCCACTGCAAAGGCAAGAACCACGACCCATTCCATCTTTGGGAAGATTTCCACCGCCGAGAAGCCACCAAAGTTTCAGAATCCAAAGGATCCTTAATTCTTATCGCTTATCACTTACGCCAAAACCAAAACTCGAATAAAAGACGTTGCCCATTTTTGGTTGAAAAGTAAGGATCTATTTTTCAGACGTTACATATATCAACACATATTATCGCTATATATTTTAAGAGGATAATATTGAAATTATAGTTCATACCAGGCTAAAATGAGGCTGATAAGTGATAATAATTTGTGGCATTACGCGACGTAATGGTTTGAAAAAGAATGCAACAAAAAAGGAACTTTTGAAAATCTCAACAGACAAGCATGTGGCACATTCACAGAACTTAATCAAAGCAGGTCAAATGTACCATATAACTATACCCGGACGGAACCATTGTGGACAAGCTAACGCAAAGTAAAGAAACTAATGAAGAATTTGTATTATATAAATACAAATCCGAGTGTGGTAAACCACATGATAGAATATCATTCTTCCTGCATGCGTCCTGTTATCGACTATGCCAGAGCGACTTTGGAGAGTTGTTACTAAATTTGACCTAGAATAGGCACCACCTGTTCTTTGCAGTTGTGTTCAATATTAACACTGAATTATGAGCTGAATCATACAAAAAAGCCTACTTCATACCACATGAATAGTTACTGAATATGTTATTGTTGTTGTTGTTAAAAAGTGATACTTTATATAATCTAAGTTAGAGCATTGTGCATGTAATGACCACACCCTATTATCGTGAGTTCAAAGGTTAGTTTAAATTCACTCATAGATGTCAACATGTGATTGGTGACATTGTTATATGATATTCTTTTATATTGCTTTTATATATGTTTGGACAATAGTGTTTTATGTTATTCTATATTTTACTTTACTGGAGGTTGCACTTATATGAATTAAACATGATTAGCTACTTAAAATGGGATTCCCCGGTATTGGATTTACTACCATAATCTTAATAGTTGTAAACTACAGTAAAAGACCTTAATGACATGTAACAGAGCCCTGTTTGAAAACTATCTGAGACGATTTTACAAAAATGCTTAAAAATTGTCCCTATTCACCCCGGTACAGTATCCTGATGCGAATATTTTCGACACAATTTACGAAAGCGCGCAATTTTGAAATGTTCTTTTGTATGGAATGTAAACATTAATTAATAGGTAGTGCAACGGTTTTTGATGACTGCAGTGTTATTAAATGTCCTTTGCTTAAGAAAAACTTATAATAGCTTTAAGTAGTTATTAAAATTACCAAATATGTAGCCCTGAGGTAGAGTGAGATTAACAATACAGTACATCACAGTACAATACAATACACTACAATGACAGAACAGTGACAGTACAATGACAGTACAGTACAACACAAATCAACATACAGCAGAAAAATAAATTATAGAACTTTCAGAAGAGCAGAAAAAATATTTTAGACATTGCCATGTGACCTATCAGATGAGTAGCAAAAATCTTGTACCTCACTTTCCTTTTGGCTTGAGTGACATCTACAGTCTTTTTTCCTGTTGCAACCAGGTATAGCAAAATCCAATATAGGCAATAGATTTATGGTTCAAGAGTGTGCTTCTAAAATTAAACAATGATATACATGTATGATAAATAGATGTATTTACTACAACCATGTGTAATATTATTTAAAGAGTTACCGTAATCTACATTATAAGATGCTAATACATCTATCACCCATAGGTGGGTTTAACTCAAGAATATTACATAGCGAAACACTTGGTGGTCAACTTCACACATATTGTTGGAATATGCCTTGTAAGCAAATTTCGCTAAACTGCACATAACATCTACTATACCTACAATGAATATTTTACTTCATTTTATAAATATTTTTCCATCTAAATCTGTGACGTGACTGAAACCTAGCTATTGATGCCTTTTAAGCTTACTCCACATATATGCTTCATATTTATCAATTAGATACTACAATTAGTGTTTGTGGTAGAGCCAAAGTGCCATACATGTGTGTACCTTGATGCCTAAACCATTATTATATGGTAAAATGTTTCCCCTGCTGGCCCTGGAAACATTTAAATCTAGGGCAAATTGTATGCTTTTCACAGGAAATTCAGGCAATTTTTGCTGAAATCAGCATAAAGCCAGGCAATTTGTGCTCATGGGTGAGGTAATTTTTGGTACAATAATTTGCCTGAGCGCCCAACTTTTTAACCTGTCCATCTATGACTTCATATTATGACTGCACATTAGGTTAAAAAACCCAGAAAACATTTGACAGAGAAGGCTACATCATATAAGCTCAAACATGAATCAAAGACAATTATGTAACAAAGCTGCTATAGAAATTAATAGAGAAATTTATTCAAACATTACTATAAATACATAATAAATCGATATCATATACTTTTTATAATGCATGCACAATACAAGAGGAAAAAAATAAAATTAAGCTGCTATAGAATACCAAATAGTAACAAGCAAAGGCACCTTTGCAATAACATACCTTTTCAATATGAAGTTCTACAGGATCAAACAAAAAAGCCATTCTGCAAAACATCAAAGACACAATTGACATACACAGATGCCACGCAAGATATATAGCATGGAAACAAATGATAATACAGAATTAACAAATTAATAAATTAATTTTGGTGGACTGTATTTATAAGGCTCTTGCACTAACAACATAATTGCATAAACCAAAAGATCTAGTAAAAGAGGTCTGTGATACCTTAAATATTGAAGTCTGATGGATCAAGCTCCAAGATTTTTCAAATGGGTCTGTTTTAGCAAACCTAAAGGCGAGATTACAAATCATAATTGACAAAACATTTTGATAATTGAAGTGGTGTTCAACAGCTTGAAATAAAGGCAAGCCTAGAGACCATTGTCCAGTCAAACACATACCATATAATTAGTCTACAATTAGGGGTACAATTTAGACAAATCACTCACTACTGCAATGAGAACATGATAAGGCATTCTCACACTGTAATATTGATACACTATGGGGTTAATATTTATCAATTTTCACATTTAAAAAGAAGCAAGGTCATAAATATCTATAGTCTGGTGACTATACCATGATTTTACACACACAAAAAATGTATAAGCCATATGAAAAAATAGCAGTGGCACTGGTTTAATACAAAGTTTCGTGGTAAATTTTGATGAGTTCAGGCTAACATGTTATACAGGATGTTTCTAGTTCACATATGAAACTCCTGGGCCTCACAATTTTCATGGTCATATTTCTCGGGAGCCTGCCTCGGTAACATCATTGCAGCCAATGGTTCCAGATGGGATCCCAAAAATGTACCTTCCCTCCTTCCAGAAAGTGTCAGAGAAAAGCTGGTGTAGAGGATTTAATTTTGGTGAAAATTGTTGGTTATGTATCAACATACTCCATACAAATATATATTTATATATACCTGATTTAGCAACCTTACTCAATTGAGTCAATTAAACTGTACCTTTGCCAAACCAAAACGTACATATTATCAAAAATATTACTCAAAATATACTGAAAGAACTTACCGTTTAAACGGGTCAGAAAACAAGGTAATATATGAAAATATGGCGATATATATTCCCCACGTGACTTTCAATGTAGGCCGTGAAGGCCCAAACGTTGTGTTTGTAGTTTCGGTGATAGCTTTTCAATTCGCTTTTGCTATGCATAAATAGCAAGTAAATAAAATAGCAATTCAAGTGTCGTAAAATATTGTATATTTAGTTCGCCAAAGAACACACTAGTCGCTCTTAATAGTTACTTCATCCAGCATAATCTTCGATTCAGCATGACCATTGACCAGTGAAGCCAACGGACAATCGGAGACCCCCCCGGTAGTGTCGCAGCTCCTCGTAAGAATGATTTTCATTGGCTGAACATTACAATACATTTCTGTTTCAACCAATAGCATAGCTTCGTTCTTTAGAAAGCATAGAAAAGCATTGTCCAATTGGACGAAAGCTTCCGAGAGCTTAAGGCTGGTTATGTCACTTATGTGACAGCGCAAAATCTCCCAAAATATGGGAGATTTTTCATTAGCGCTTAGTTCATATCTAAGGAGGGGTAGCAAGGTCAATATATAAACCACTTCTGCTATTTTTAGCACTTTGACAATCCATGTGGCAACTAAAAATAGCGGTTCACACAATAATGAAACTAAATAAAGCTAGTATGGCGCAGCAGAAAACTCTAAAGAACAATAAACCAAATTTAGATTCAAAGTGTATATGTAGACTGTATCGTCGTCGATAGAAACGGTTTTAGTATCGTCACAAGTTCTTCCGTCACAGGTGAAACAGGCACAGAGTAACTAAAAGTCAAAAATGCAGAGTTGGAACTATTGTACCCAATTTTTAGTGCGCATGCTCGGCAACTGCCTCAGATTGAAAGTATAAACAATTGTCAAATCTGCAATTTATTTTCGGAGTGCGTAAAAATTAAGACGCTACATAAATGACGATATTGTAAAGAAAATTATTATCGAAAATGTTGAAGTTTACTATGGTAGCCCATTGTTATCATTGTTATCATTGAACATTTCAGTTTCAGACACTTAGCTTTTTGCTCACGCGCACTAAAAAATCGAATTAATTTAAAGATGATGTAACGTCCGTTCTGAGCATATATTCTGCGCATAACAATGTTTGTTTACGTTGGTTATATAATCTTTACATGACGTATGCGTCGTTATAATTTTTTTATTTTCTTCTCGCTCGACCGGCTGTGATCTGTGATGAATATGCTTATTTTATATTATATTTTGAAGAAAATGTTGTTATATTTTGAAGAAGATACAAAGCGAAGCTTGTAAATAAACCGGCCGTTATTTAAAACGTTATATATTTGTAAAATTTTGTAGGACAAGCGAGAAGGTAGCGTCTGTAGCGACAACAAATACCCTCGCCATTTCGGACCTCATTCAACAAATAAATTCTTGGAGCATTCCTTTCAGCATAATATTGCTTTTTTCTAGCAGCCTTATGATAAGATAAGTTATCGTCGTGACTCGCAATTCGAGCCTCTTGGCCTTGCGACATAAAATAAAATAATTGTGCTCCCGAACTGCCGTTTGTAATACAACGCGCTAATATCGCATATCATTAACATTCCAAAAGTTGCTCCCCCACTGATGGAATGTGTTGATGCGCGGAATATATGCGCAGAACGGACTTTACCTCATCTTTAAAGTCAAAATTATTTAATTACGCTTCTAACGACAGCTCTGCGTGTTAGGTTTGACTCATGAGCATATTTTCGAAATGGTAGTATCCATCTGGGCTCTGCCTATGTCATAAGTGGGTTAACCGCATCCTTTATTTATGACCTTTAAAATATTTAACTATTTAGCAACAAAGTCATCTTTATAATTTCAAGTATATAGTATATTATGAAAACCTACTCATGCCGTTTTGTATGCTTTTCTGAATGCGAAAGTGTTGTGAAAATCTGTAATTACCATAGTTACCAAGAGAAAGACACCCGTTGGTGAATCCTGTCCTTGGCCAATACTGTCCTTAACAACAGTTCAAAGTTAACTAGCCTTTTATACAACTGGCCCCTGGTAAATAACCTGATCACTTCACCTGCAATACGCTCTTTTCGTAGTTTCGTGACGGCATGGGCGTCAATCGAACGTTAATTGAGGTGGACCATATTCATATAATTATTCTGTTATGCCAAGCTTAATTTTAGTGAAAATGTATTTATTATTAAATAATAAAGGAAGTTAATGTTATACGGGTCTTCGTATCGTAGTGTCGCGGGTCCTAGGACGCTTGTCCGGTCGGCTACTTGCCCCCTCCGGTGAGTACAAATATGAGCCCAGTTTGCCTGATCGAGTTGTTAGTTGCTTGCGTGAATCGATGCCGTCACAACCTTGTCCAACAAAATCATTTCGCTATAATGGCTCAGGAAAATATGTCTCTTCAAGGAGTTGCTTTTAGTTTAACGCCAACTAGCTCACCAGTCGTGTCTGCTGTTACAACTTCAACAGTGGCATCGCAGTTGATCGCTACGGCTCCCCTTGCCGTTCGCTCGTCGCCATCTCGGCAATTTCAGCCAAGTTTACACCAGCATATTGCTTCACCGTTATTCCCAACTCGTGTTCCATCGCCGGCTATTGCAAATCAACAAATCGTCAGTGTTGCTTCTACTTGGCCATCGAGTCATCCAAGTTTGACACCATTTTTCGCTCAGCAGCCACCACAACCCGTGTTACTTCAATCAGCGACGCCTACGGTTACCCAACAACAAGATCGTGCCGTAGCTGGACATTGGCAACCGCCTCAACAGACGCTGCAGCAGCCGTTGTATCGGATTCAAAATCCTGTCCCTTCAGGTACGCCATATTTGTTTTCTTCGTCTACGTCCCCGGGCCCCGGGATGGGGTTTGTTTCGCCGGGTGTTTTTTAGCCTCTGGTGGTATTGCCTCGCCCCTCGCTTCTCTACGCTTACCGTATCGGCTTTTTCTCCCTTCGTGGTCGGGCCTGGTTTCCTCCGGTATCCCCAAAGCTTATGGCATCAATTTTCAACGGCAAGTTGGTCGAGTTGGCCTCTCTTATCGAAGAAACTTCAGTTCATGACGCTCCTTCGTTTACCATCGGGGATAACGAACTAGTTTTGCGACCGTCAAAGCGCCCTAAGGAAATTACAGATATTATGACTTGGCTCCCAGCCTTTTCTGTTTATATCCTCGTGATGACGAATTTTTGGCCGTCTCGCTCCCCGGATTTGCTTCGCTACCAGCTACTTATTTTGCGTTCCGCTCAGAAGCATCTTGGCTCGGCGTGGATCGCGTACGATCGCGCTTTTCGTCGCCATGCAGCTGCTCTCCGCCTCACCGATTGGTTACAACTCCACCCGGAGCTGTATAATTTTCATATATTCGGCGCCGGGAGTTTTCTTCTACTCCTGCTTCGCGGGTATCTACTTCGTTTTCCTCGTCCTCCAGCTCCCTTGAAGCGTCCGGTACCCCGTCGTCGTCCATTATTTGTCACTCTTGGAACGCTGGTCGGTGCTCATCGCAATTCCTCCGGTGTCGGTTCCGTCATGCCTGTGATTTTCCGGGTTGTCCTGCAATCCATCGTCGTAGCGTGGCCCACCAGTCTACACGTTGTCCTCGTTCACCATCTCGCTCGCAACCCGCGAAGTAGCGTCTATCATCAGACACCTCGCGTCGTTAGTTAATACGTAGTGGTCGGTTCGTTTGTTCCCGTTGTTCCGGACGTTAACATTGTTCTGTGCGCTATTTTAGTTTTTTTTTTTGTAATTCGTGTTCGGTTATGAATTTGCTGATTAAAATAGTTATCTAGCTTCACTTGTGATTTAGTTGCGCACTGTTCGTTACCGTTCGCACCGATCGCACTGGTCGCACCGTTCGTACCGTTCGCACTGGTCGCTCCGTTCGTACCGTTCGCACCGATCGCACTGGTCGCACCGTTCGTACCGATCGCACTGGTCGCACCGATCGCACCGTTCGCACCGTTCGTACCGGTCGCACCGATCGCACTGGTGCACCGTTCGTACCGTTCGCACTGGTCGCTCCGTTCGTACCGTTCGCACCGATCGCACTGGTCGCACCGTTCGTACCGATCGCATTGGTCGCACCGTTCGTACCGTTCGCACTGGTCGCTCCGTTCGTACCGTTCGCACCGATCGCACTGGTCGCACCGTTCGTACCGATCGCACTGGTCGCACCGTTCGTACCGTTCGCACCGGTCGCTCCGTTCGTTTCCGCTCGCTGTTCTTGCTATTTTTCTGCTCCGTTGTAGGTGCTTTCGTTCGTGCTGTAGATCCACCGTTGCCGGAGTCCCGCATCCTGTTTCCGTTGGTCTCCCGCGTTTCGCCGCTTCAATACGTCGAGTTTCATCGGGAATTAATCAACCATCCCAATCAAGCTATGGTTCGCTACGTGTTGGATGGTATAGCTCACGGCTTTCCGTCGGGTTTTGATCCTTCACTAGTCTCTTTACGACCATCGCACCGAAACATGAAATCGGCCTTGCAACATCCCGATGTTATCGACAAATATTTGGCAAATGAAATTTCGCATGGTCGTGTCGTGGGTCCTTTTGCCTCGCCACCGTTTCCTAATCTACAGTGCAGCCCGTTTTGGGTCATTCCAAAGAAAGGCCAGCCTGGTAAACGGCGTCTCATTCAGGATTTGTCGTCACCCGAAGGCCATAGCGTTAATGACGGCATCCCCAAGGATCCTTTCTCGTTGACTTACATCTCCGTCGATCATGCCATTGCTCGTTTGTACAGCTTGGTCCGGGTGCTCTTATGGCCAAATTTGACGTAGAATGTGCGTACCGTAACATCGCTCTCAGACCTGACGAACGTTTCTTATTTGGCATGTGGTGGCCTGAGTCATATTTCGTCGATTTGGCTCTTCCGTTTGGTCTGCGTTCCGCCTCATTTATCTTCAACTCCGTCGCCGAAATGGTGGAATGGATTCTTAAAGCTAATTATCGCGTTCGTTTTCTCCTTCACTACCTCGACGATTTCCTGACCCTTGGCCCCGGCAACTCCACCGAGTGCGCTAGTAATGTAGCCATCGCCAGGTCCTTATTCCTCCGTTTGGGTTTGCCTCTCCATCCGTCAAAGTGCGAGGGTCCTACTACTACGTTAGTCTTTTTAGGTGTGGAACTAAATTCTCTCACCCAGTCTGCTCGGTTGCCATCCGCTAAAATTTGTGGCCATCGTAGAGCTTCTTAAAAAATGGAATCGTAAGTCTTGGTGCACTCGTCGAGAGTTAGAATCCTTTATCGGCTCGCTTCACCACGTTACGAAAGTTGTTCCGCCCGGTCGCACGTTCCTCCGGCGTATGATTAATTTGCTCTGCGCTTTTCGTTCACCTACCCACCCTATTCGGCTCAATACGGAGTTTTTTCCTTTAATGTTTACCTAGCTGCTGTCCGTTCCTATCATATTGACCTTGGCTTCCCGGATCCCACGAAAGAGAAACCACGGTTTCGTCGTCTGCTTCAGGGCATCCGTCGTTATCGGTCTGGCGTTTCCTCGTTACGCTGCCCCATAACCCGCGATCTATTGGATGTTATTCATTCGTCGACGGTTGGTGATCTTGGCGTCTACGATGCAGTTATGTTTTGGTCTGCGTGCTTTCTGGCTTTCTAAGACTGATCCTCTTGGCGTCGGACAGGTCCTGTACATCGGGTCTTCAAGCAATCATCTCTGCCCTGTCTTCGCGCTTCAGGCGTACCTCGATATGCGTGGCAGCGGCCCTGGTCCTTTATTCCTGTGGTCGGATGGCTTCCCCTTAACTGCTCAACAAGTCAATTTTTTCCTTCGCAAAATCTTGAGGCGAGCCGGCGTAATTGGGGAACTACTCATCTCACAGCTTTCGCATTGGGGCTGCTACTTCCGCCGCTGCGGCTGGGATTCCGGATCATCTAATTCAAGCTCTTGGACGTTGGACTAGCCAAGCTTACCTTCGCTACGTTCGCACATCGCTGCAGTCATTTTTCAACGTTGCCCCGCTGCTGTAGGGTTGGAGACTGGTGGAGAAGGTTAACGGTAACCTAACTCCAACCCCTCATCTGGCTTGGAGACATACTTGGAGGAGGTACCGTTAAAATAGCATGGTTCGTTGAGTTATTATCTGCGCCGAAAACAGCAAACTCAAAAGAAACACCGTTTCACCCCTAGCCCGACCGTTTCGCTCGGATACCGTCTCCATCCCTACCGATCGGCAGCGGGCAAAAATATAGTGTAAGAGCTGGTGTGCTATCGTACTGATGTGAGCCTTAGGATCCGTTAGAACGTTAAATGTATTTATTATTAAATAATAAAGGAAGTTAATGTTATACGGGTCTTCGTATCGTAGTGTCGCGGGTCCTAGGACGCTTGTCCGGTCGGCTACTTGCCCCCTCCGGTGAGTACAAATATGAGCCCAGTTTGCCTGATCGAGTTGTTAGTTGCTTGCGTGACCCATCCCGCCCCTTTCCCTAACGACTTCACGCGATGTTGTGAACTCTACGGGAGAAGCGTCTTATTAATCTCGCTGGGGTTTGTTTTTTTTGTTAGTTTGTTTTGCAGGATTAAGCACAGTTCTTTTCACACCCGTTTTGGTCGTGGAATGGGTGTTTGGGGTAAAGGTAAATTCATTAATGATCGCCACATTTACAGGTATTTTTTTTTGTTTTGTGTGTGTGTGTGTACTTTGATGTTCGTATCGTTTATTCCACGGTTTCACTTCAGTGACTCACGTGTGACAGTTGATCACGGGATGGAGGAGGTACCGTTAAAATAGCATGGTTCGTTGAGTTATTATCTGCGCCGAAAACAGCAAACTCAAAAGAAACACCGTTTCACCCCTAGCCCGACCGTTTCGCTCGGATACCGTCTCCATCCCTACCGATCGGCAGCGGGCAAAAATATAGTGTAAGAGCTGGTGTGCTATCGTACTGATGTGAGCCTTAGGATCCGTTAGAACGTTAATTGAAATTGTATTCAAAATAAATTAACCACTCATAGCAGAATATATGAATATGGTTCCCCTTGATTAACGTTCGATTGATGCCAATTCGTGTATGGCAAGTATTGTTGATTTAATAAATCCTTTCCAATATCTCTTAACAAAGAAATAGTAATTGGGGGATAGCAGTAGGAGAAAACTAAATTCCTATTTTAAGCTGTAACAATCTAGCTGTAACGATCTAGAATTGTGAATCTAATTTTGTTCATGCAAAAGCTGTTTCACAGCCCAATTTCGACCATTAGATATAGAAATTTGGGATCTTTTTTCTAAATGACATGGTTCACGATCATAATATAGATGCATGGTCTTTGCGATCATATGTCAGGGTAAATCTTCGTATGCATTTTCAGGATTACCATCTTTGTTCGATGAAGCATTTGCATTGAGGTTACCAAAACGACAATCCTGGGGCTGTTCATAATCTCCTGGTGTTAAACTTTGATACTGGTTTTCATCTTTGGGATCTCGCTTGGAAATATCCAGCTCGGCATAGTCGGGTTTTTCAAGGCGAGTGTCGGGTTTGGTGATAGCTTCCCCCGACTTCTGTCCCCCGACCTCTTCATAGTCGTCCTTATCTTCGTCCTCCTCTGACTGTTTTTGATAACCAACATTAACCAAGCTCTGATACTGCTTGTCATCATCGGGATCTCTTTCTGTACTCTTCAGCGAAGCATATTCTGATTCTTTGCCGGGAGCGTCGCGAGTTTCATTAGTCAAACTTTGATACAGATTTTCATCATCTCGTTTAGAATTGTCTAGTGATGCGTATGTTGGTTCTTTGGATATTTCGTAGCGAATCGCGGATTCAGGAATACGTGGGGACTCTGCATCTGGTTCCGTTACATCTTTCAAGTGTGGCTCATAAGCACGATTTTTTATGGTACGTGTGTCCTCCGTGTTTTTCACCTTTTGTTTTCTTCGATAAAGGTAGTAAACAACAACGAGCACGCCTGCAACCAAGACAACAACGCCAATAATGACGCCAACAATGACGCCGGCATTGTCACTACTCTCTGCAGTTGATCGTCCTTGTTTGGATGATTCTTGTCAAGTACAGAAAAATAAAATAAAAATTGTTAGTTACGTATATATTCAGTTATTCTTAATATTATGACGTCATCAGGCAGCTTGACTGAAACTCATAGGCGTACGAGACAGGGGGGCAGGGGGGGCAGTTGCCCCCCCAAAAATTTCGAGAATCAAGAAATTCGGGCAAAGTTCAGCCGAAACTTCGGGCAAACTGAAAGCTAAATTACATAGCTAAAATTTTTAAAACCAAATTTTGTAATATATATAACATATTTGTATTCTATTTCGCTATTTTTGTTATACTTTCTTAAAAGTCCATCCGCCGCTTTGCCAAATCTATTGTTACAAATCTGGTAAAAGTTATAATTCGGGCACATTGTGTAATTCAAAAATTCGGGCGATTTTTTTTTGCCCCCCCAAACGAAGTTGCGCCCGTACGCCTATGCTGAAACTGAGTTTTCATGCATCTGGGCCGGTTGTATAAAACTATTTAACTACACGTTGCATAGTTTCCTAGTTAACTCAGAAATACTCGACTGTGATTGGCCACTTCCGCCTTTACCACAGGTAAAAGCTGACTAGTCTTTTATACAACAGGCTCCTGGAGTAATTTTTGTACCCGTAAAAATTAAATTCAAACTTACAATTAACTGAGAAACGAATGTGTTTCTGTATTTCTGTATTATTCAGACGTTATATGAAATAAATGAAGTGTAATTCAGTTCGCGTTGGTCATATTCGGCAAATTTTCTCAAAGTAAAGAGGGCTCATTTTTTTTGTCTTACACACTTGCTCTCAATTTTACGTATGTTTTCCGCAGACAATATGAGCCTGCATGAGTGGGAACCCCCCCCCAGTTACGGTAGTCACACTCTACGCCCCTGTTTAGCGCTCTTGCATTAGCTACGTATACAGCATGTGCCTTCAAATTTATGCTTTTGGATAGTGGTGCAAGAAATAGAGTTACAATACCTTTACAGTTAGTTCCGTTTCCCTCATATCCAAGTTTACATTTACAAAGATATGAACCATCGGTGTTTGTACAATTTGCATTAGAGTCGCATAGATTTTTTGCGCCACATTCGTTGATATCTGCGAAATACAGCAATAAAGTTCACTGCAATATTCTTAATGCATACTGTAGAAATACCGTTTAGTATGAATATTGTATACTTTTTCCATATTATGTCCCTAGTATGAAAATAGTAAGTATACGTAGTATTGATATTGTATATTTTCATATTATTCCCGACCAGCATCCATGCTATATCCATAACTTGAAAAAATTTTGAAAAAAATTTTAAGGTGTTTTTTTAATTTGTTGTCAGTAGAGATAGATCAGTATAAAATAAAATGAAATAAGTCAGTGTAAAATTATAAAGTCTGCTTATAAAGTATATTTGTTTACTGTATTAAACGCACGTCAATCTCAAGGGCTCGTCGAAGAATGGACGTGCTAGTATCTCATTTTATATGGTGTAGCCTGTAAGTGTATACGAGTGAACATTACTATTCAAATAAAAATTGAAAAATTGGTTAATCTTTTACGAACTCTCAACGTGAACACCCAGTCTCTGGCGAGCAACATAAATTTTACCGCAGAAAAAACAGGCAAATAAACTCTCCAGTTTGTGTAGTCGAGATTAATTATGGCAATCGCTAAAATTGTCGATTTTTATTGTATACCCCGCCGATACAACTTATTTACAGGTATATATAATAGGAAGTTAATTAAGTTTACGAAGCGTTTCCGAAAATCTTGGACCATTGTTATTTTCCTCGTGCGTTATACAGTAAGCGGAGTAAGCGGGTGTCAACTTAATCCATTCAATCGCATGCAAAATAGCTGCAAGAGTAAAAGTAACTAAATGAGACCGCAGAGAGTTTCTTAGCTTACTTAAAAGTTTCGCTAACATAAATACATTGGAACTAGAATTGTATAAAACAAGGCAAAAAGAAAGTATTATTTAAAGAATAGACTGATGTTGCTTAATTCTCACCAAAATATATAGTGCATAATATTGTCAACGTCGTTTTGGAAGGTCATTTCAAAAACGATTTAAAAGAATTAGTGTATGAGGTCCCCAAAATATAGAGTTCTGGAATCGAGTTAGAGTTAATGCGTTTCTGGAAAACCAAATGGTTTGCCCCACATTGTTGAAGAAATATGGTTTTTAGTACATAAGATTTAGGCCAAAATAACATCAGCTGGTATTGTGTTGTCTGGTATTCTATGGTATAGTACGGTACGGTACGGTTAGCCAAGACTACTTACCTCTGCAATTTGTTCCGTTTCTCAAATAACCAGTTTTACAATGACATGCGTATGAATCATTGATTCTTACACATGTTTCTTTTGCACCACATGGGGAATTCGTACAATTAATGACTTCTGAAATGGTAGAAATGTATTGGTTGGATTTATTTTAACTTGCTGTAAATCCGCAAACACAACAATTTAGGACTGCCTGGTAAAATACGTTTTTCGGCATAGTATATAAACAGATCGACTTTCATCTTTGCGGTCTCATGAGGAAACAGCGATAAAGTTCAGAGATGCATGACTATAATGCACTTACGGCTCCGTTACACGGTGCAACTTGCAATGCAAAGTTTACTTTTAAGAGTTGTGAATTTCAACTATATACGAAACTTTTATGTTTATCACACTCCATGTACGTTCCTAACACTTACATTTTCCATACTCTGCACAAATTTACGTCACTTAAAGTAGATTACATTGCAAGTTGCAAGAAAAATTGCACCGTGTAACATGGCCTTTAGATAAATCTAAATTGTTGATAAAAAGCTAAGACTAGCATGCCTGTGCATATTATCCCATTTCCTTTATATCCAGGTTGACATTCACAAAGATATGAACCATTAGTGTTTGTACAGTTTGCATTCGAATCACATGTGACGTTTTCGCAGTAATTGACAGCTGAAAAAGTAGAAAACATTGATAAAGATTAGCGTACCATGACTGGAACATAGGCCCAGGCTATGCGTCGCATTTCGTTCGCGTCGAATGCAATCATAATGCAATTAACAAAACATAGATAATCAGATAATGAGATGATAAACCTCATTAAGATTCATTATTATCTCATTATTAAATTGTTCCAATTTCATTCGACGCACCCAAAATGTGACGTATAACCTCGGCCTTAAGGCGATTTTCCACTATGCAGAATTTTTCGACCAAATTAAGTTTTTCGTCTTCATTATATTCTTTTTTTGAATTGTGAGAATTCGACCGTAGCGGATTGCTTTCACCGGTCCCAAGTGAAAAGAAAATCGATCGAAAAATTTCGTTCGATAAAACGAATTCGCCTAGTGGAACACCGGCCGCCTTTCAGTCCCTTTCAGTCTTTCAGACATCGAACTTTTTCATGTGCCGAATCGAATGCAAATGAACTTAAACAAAGACTTTAGCTCATTAACATTAGGTTTGGCACATGAAAGTTCGCGTCCGAAAAAGGCCTTATAAATAGCTAAGACTAGCATGCCTGTGCAGTTGATTCCACTTCCTTCATATCCAGGTTGACATTTGCAAAGATATGAACCATTAGTGTTTGTACAGTTTGCATTAGAACCACATGGAGAGCTTTTACATTCATTCACGTCTGTTGAAGTGTGGAAGTAAGAAAATATTATAAAGATCGGCGAACCATGATTAGAAAACTAGTACTTAGGCCTACGTTGTATCTCGCATTTTGGTCGCGTCAAATGCAATTCAAGATAATGAAATGATAAACCTCATTAAGCTTCATTATCATCTAATTATCTACTGTTTGAATTGCATTCGACGCGCAAAAAATGCGACGTTTAACCAAGGCCTTTATAGGGCCACTGACCTACATTAGACCCGTTTCTGACTTCGAACTTTAATCATGCCGAATCGAGTGCAAATGAACTTAAACAAAGCCTTTTGCTCATTAACATTAGTTTCCGCACATGAAAAGTTCGACGTCTGAAACAGGCCTTGGTATAACTTGGTATAAACTTAAAATATAAATAGCTAAGACTGGCATACCTGTGCAGTTGGTTCCATTTCCTTCATATCCAGGTTTACATTGGCAAAGATATGAACCATTAGTGTTTGCACAGTTTGCGTTAAAACCACATGGGAAGCTTTTACATTCATTGACATCTGAAGAAGTAGGAAACATCGATAAAGATCCGAGAACCATGACTAGAGCACTTAGTAAACTACAAATATAATTCCCAAGCCGGTACTTCGGGCGAGGGTACTAATTCCGCCCGGAGATTTTAATTACGCCCGGGATTGCAAATGCTAAATGAAAGTTGTCCGCCATTATGTCATGAGCGTTGGGCGTTTTTCTAAGTTATGCGCATGCGTGAGTTTACGACGGGTTAAAACTGGTAACTACAATCATAGACAAATTTGCTGGGACAAACATGGAATGAAGAAATTATCAGTGAAAAATATTTACATATCCCTCATAAAACTGACCCCCTCCCCCCGAAACAATGTTGATGAACACTTGAATTGTTATGGCGATTATTGCGATACTATTCCCAACAACATTGCAAAAGGCCTAGGGAGCGGGGAATACGACTACACATGCGAAAAAATTATTGACAGACCGAAAGTTCAGCCATTATAAATAGCGTCCGCGTGTTTTTTGTCTAGGATTGTAGCAAACATTTACAAACGTGCGATTGGCCAAATTAAATTTAGGTTCACGTCAGCATAACTGATATTTTGAATTATAAAACTTCTTTTAATTAGTATTTTTTATTTGTATGGTCTTAAAAATATACGAAAAATTGACCCGTAAAATTGATTAAAATATAATGTAAAAGATGCCTTCGAATCGAAAATGAATCTGAATAAAAAATAATTGACTAAAAAATAATAATCGAAAGTGAATCTGTTTAAAAAATAATTGAAATTTTGCTAAAAATTGTAGTATTTAAAACTATTCGTAGCACAACTATGATTATAGCCGAATTCAGTGACACCTCGAGAGTCGACTTTATAATTGTACTTGACATAGGATTTTACTTTTACGACTTCGATCATTCAGCAGAAACGAGTATTATAGAATTTCAGTGATGGAAATATATGTTTATTGCTTCAGGTGAGGGGACTTTGCAAGCATGTATTTCTAGTAGTTAAAACTGACATGCCTGTGCAGTGTCTCCCATTTCCTTCATAACCAGGTTGACATTTGCAAAGATATGAATCATCGGTGTTTGTACAGTTTGCATTAGCGCTACATGGGGAGCTTGCGCAGTTATCTGCAAATGAAGGAAAAAAAAACTTTGAGAGTGGATTTTGACAAGATAAACGTTCATTGGGTAGAAAAAATCTCCGCAGATTAGGTGAATTAGAAGCGAGAATTATAGGCGAATGACTTTTTCTAATGCTTTTATGATAGTCAATTTCAATAGTCAATTGTGAAATTAAAAGTTCAGATACTTTATTTGCAGTTTGCCATTCCTACAAGAGCAGGTCCTACTGAACTATGCATGCCAAAACTCTAACATTCCAGCGATCGAGGCTATATAGCATTAAGTTATGGGAGGCTCTTTTTGAGTGTAAAATTACCAAACAGCCATTTTTTAGAAGGAAAGTAAGATATTCTCAGAATAAAACTCGTTTCACGAAGTTAATTAATTTCTTTAGAAGAACTCTAGTCAGATTTGAATTAACCAGAACAAGGTCAATTGCCTACCTAACAGAAAAATCCTGGTTAGGATAATACATAGAAATAATATACAATTCACAGAATTATTAATTCATAGAAATAATACTCAATTATCCCTATGGGATAATTCAAACACTCGCCTGAGTATAAATACGTTAATTTGACCAGGAAAAAGAATAAATATGTGTTGTGGGCAATTGGCCAAGTTTTTCGTTGAATTTAACTATTGTGTAAAATTATTGAACTTTTCGCTTTTTATTTACCTGAAGGAATGTATCCACATCCCCTTCCTGAGTTTTCCGGATCTTTCCTTTTCACCCGAATTTGCTTTACTGGTTGTTCAAGAAGTGCGACTAACTTGTCGCTTGATTTGTCTTCTTGTTCAAGAAACCTTTTCAGATCTATTGATACGAGCCAAGCAATGTTTAGAAAGTTAAAGAAGACTGATTACCTAATAGCTAATACGATGTAAAAATGGTTCTGAACGGGGCTAGCGTCCTTAAAAGAACTTTACATACATTGTATAAATCCTCCTTTTTCTTCTGATATAATTATGAAATTACATTTAATTACATTATTTATAGATTGGGAAAATATTTCGCTGAATCATCGAATGTTCCATAAAGAATGCCCGAGCCGGTGCCCAAAGTCAAAACTATTTCATAAACATGCTGAACACACTCAACACAGTGCCCTGTTGCATGAACATGCACTACATCCGCCCGTACTTGGGATTCGTGCCTATTTAATTTTCAAACGTCATATTCAACTTAGGCGCGAGGGAAAGTGAGGGGCACCAATGCAGTCGTCTGTGGTTTCTATCGGTCGACCGCAACCGCATGGTTAAGTTATTTCTTTACAGTATACTGTATAATTTTCCCACTATCTCGTTTTTAGGCCTAGACTGCATGAAGAAGCTAATTTGCGTAGAAAACAAGAGAACTTGCAATGTGATATTGTTGACCTTACTTATGATTTTCTGTTGCTCCCATGATTGTTCCACCTCGACGTTTTCATCCGAATCCATTGCAGTGGTTTGGTAAAATACATCTCCTATACAAGAAGTTGGTTATTCGCATTTTCCACTTGAAAAAAGACGATCCAAAATTAGATTCCATCAAAAAGGACGGGTATAATGAGCTTGAAAGGTTGTATGAATTATGAAATTCGTCTGAGGGATTCATGTTGTATATGGGCAGCCTATCAACAAAATGCAATGCATTATCGCTCTTTGAACAACGGACTACATTCCTTCCGGGTCACCAGATTACTGAAAGAAGAATCCAAACGTTGTTGTAGTCGGCCCTTTGTTTCTTTGTTTAAAACAAAGAAAACAACGATTATGGAGAATTTTTGACTAATTTTGCAACCCTGCATTCCTTACGTCGAAAATGGATTGGGTCTGCCAAATAAAAACATAAAGAGTCATGAATACCACAAAAGAAAGCCCCCCCCCAATTATAGTGCTTCATGGCTACGCCTTCAAGTGTCACTTTAGCTGCAAACTTTGTTTTGACTTAAATTGTACAGTTTACGGAATAAATAATATAACACTTCCTAACGTCCTCAAATATCGCTTGTATAAATCAAACTTCAATAACTGAATAAGCAAACACCGCAGAAATTGTGAAGCTTCAACCCGAATCTCTAGTCACAGGGGTGCATGGTTACTATATTGCAGCAAGAATGCCGGATCAGTACTGATCCAACACTAAATGTTCTCTGTGTTCTTTGAAGCTTCAAATCGCTATATCAAAGAGTAAACTTTTGAAAACTCTTCAATTTTTCTTCTAAATACGCTTTCTGCCATCGTTTGAGTTTTGAAAGCTCATCATATACATCTGACCGCTGTGAAATGGCCATTTTGAATATACACAAGGTTATTAATTCAGACGATTCGTTTTTACCGTGTGCAAGCTTCAAAAATCTTCTGTGCAAGTCATATTTTGTTGAGCATGTATAACTCTTCTTGCTCACCAAACTTCTAAGGCTACGTGATTAAGAATTGCTCATTCGGTGTCGAATAAGCAGCTGTGAATGGAAGGACTTTCTTACAACAATGATAATTAATTCCGTTTATGAACCCATGCAAGGCCAAGATGAGAAGTAAAATTCTATATAACGATTGCGTAACCCGCGCCTACGCATGACATGGAAACGAGGTTTACCGTGCATGAAACGATCCGCCGAGTTATACCCCGCTTTTCGCGTTTGCTTAACACGTATTTCCTGTAACTTTTAGCTTAGTTCCATCGTTCTTACAACAGTTATCAGATTAGAGGGTTTTCCCTTTTCAATTGAGACATTTTTGTGGTCACAGCATGACTCTAGCTTTTATTGTATTATTTTGTGGATAAAAAGCTTTGTATCAGAGAACATAAAAACATCTCGATCTTTCAAATATAATTTATCTAGCAAAACCAGAAATTTGATTATACAGTATTTAGATCTGTACCTCTAGTCCAAGGCTGTGTGATATAGTCATGCTATATATACTTGCATTAGTTACTCCGGCGTCAGCGACGGAGTTGAAAATTCGCCTCGGTTTTGTTTTTTTTTTTTTTTTTTTTTTTTATTACTCCGGCGTCAGCGATGGAGTTGAAAATTCGCCTCAGTTTTGTTTTGTTTTTGTTTTGTTTTTTTTAATTTTTTTTTTTATTATTTTTCGTCGTCGCAAGTCTGTAATGGCGCGAAACATTCTAGTATTTAAAATGTGTATGTGATTGGATTTATCTATGTCCCAGTCTTGTCTCCCAAGAGTTGTGGTGCACAGCTTTGGCTAATTTTCCGATGCGCGATTCGATTTCGCTCGCATGATACGGCAATTCCTCCAAGAGGAACAAATAAACCGTTCTTTTCATGCTTTTCGATTAAGTTTAGACTGAATTGGGGTAAGAATATATTTAATACATGTAGATTCTGGTCCTATTTTAGTAATATCGCTGCTATTTCGCCGTTTAACAAGATGATGTGGTCGTGTATGGGCGCTTTGACTCGTCGTAGTTTGCACAGGATTGAAGATATAATATATATAAGCGCGAATGCCAAAAGCAAAGTGTAAGACAAAGCGAATGTATCATGCGGTTTATTTACATTTTTGAACAGTTGAACTTCTATACTTTTTAAAGTACGATGTGCTTCTGAATTTCGCGATGGAACATTTAGGTTCGCAAGGCGTCTAAATGCGAATATGAACTGCATTGTTTATGTTCAGAAGCTCTATATTGAAGACTGGCACGTGCGCCGGAGTTAACGCCAGAACAGGCGTCTTGTTTGTTTTTTTTTTATTATTTTTCGTCGTCGCAAGTCTGTAATGGCGCGAAACATTCTAGTATTTAAAATGTGTATGTGATTGTATTTATCTATGTCCCAGTCTTGTCTCCCAAGAGTTGTGGTGCACAGCTTTGGCTAATTTTCCGATGCGCGATTCGATTTCGCTCGCATGATACGGCAATTCCTCCAAGAGGAACAAATAAACCGTTCTTTTCATGCTTTTCGATTAAGTTTAGACTGAA